GGATCATTGATTTTTTTTGTAATACGTAAAAGAAGGAAGTTACGAGGAGGCGACAGTCTTTTGGTCCTCACTGTATAAGTATATAATGCACACAAAAGGACTACTAAACAACTGTTCTAGGAGTACCTGAATTCAATTGTGATATTCTCATGCTGATGATAATAGTTTTTTGCTATAAAAAATGCCTGATATAATATTAGCAAAAAAAATTTTGAAATCAATCAATTACAAGGATTTTGTTTCATAAATATACGAGGAAAAATACAAGGAATCTGGAATACCCATAATGATTCTGAATACTATTTCACTCATCACATAATTGACCAATCACAAGCCAGAGACAACGTGTACTTATCGCGAAAACATTAGCTATCTTTCAATACTGATTGGTCTATCAACGTTGATCTTTTCAACGATGTAACCATGGATAGCGAAGCAAAGTCTGTCAGTTTGACATAAAATAAGTATAGCTGTGCTTGTCAGAATGAATCTCTCATTGATAATAAATTCTTTTTATGCTTCGTGATATTACTTATAAGGGTAAGTATTATTTTGATTTGGTGTGGCTTGCCTTCTTGACTATTAAAATATCAAAGTGTGCTGACTTCATGTAGGTAAATCATATTCTTTCGCCATTCATTTCTGATACATCCTGTATACGATGTAGGTATACTCCGTAATCTGATTTCCATAATAATTTCGTTTCAATTCCTTATTTGCGTACGGGTATCAAGTAGACCAGACGTTTATGCAAGCAGGTATTCTCACATACATCTTGTCAATTCAAAATTACTTCCTAACGCATAAAACTGTAGCAATGTTATCTATGCTTATACCTACCTACGTTACGTTTACGCAACCGTTTGCAAAACGGCAAATAGATGGTCAGAACATTCTTTGGATAATATCGTATAACAGATTTCTCGAGGAATTGAAACTTGCAAAGAATTGAGAAAATTCTATCGGTGCGGAAAGCTACTTTTTCGGCAACCGTCTGCGAAGTGCTCACTTGCCAGACGCTTTCTCTTTGGGAATGTAGCATTTTTCCGGCCTTGTCCGGGAAGTACGTAGTTCCCGGACAAGGCTGACAGCTATTTGACATAAAATTAGCTGACATTTTGATTTTTGAAAGTTTGGTTTCAATTATCGCAATAAACTATCGGAGCAGCTGCGATAGTGAGTTTGAAAATGTCCATACGAAATTTCCAATGTAACAGTTAGTAGGTATAGGTATATTCTGTTCAAATTTCAGTATTTGATACAAATGAGAATCAATAAAGAAGAAATTGTGTTTAACAAAGAAATAGAATACGGATGGGCAGAAGGATTTCGGTCAATAGCCTTCTGAACAATTTGTATTTATGTTCAATGAAGCACTATCATTATTATTATTATAATACGGAAATGTGTCTCATTGATTTGTTATTATATATGGTTGCCAAAAAAATAGTGCACGCAACACGTCCAAAAACAGTTTTTTTGGACTCGCAGACTTCCAGGACTCGTCTACGGCTCGGCCTAGAATTTTGTCTATACTTGTCCAAAAAAACACAGTATTTTCCGGACTTGATACGTAAATTACTATTACAACGCTACAGCTTCAATAAATTTGTTTTTTACAAAAGCTCAACAAATAAGTAGCCACCCAGCGAGCACAAACATCCCTGGGATGTTTTGAAGATGTTATTTTGAGACGTAATATGCACTGACCAAAGAGGTCTTTGAAGGATATTGAAGTATTGTTTTTGTTCTTCTGTGGCATTTCTTTGTTTGCCTACTGAGAGGTATCCCTGGGATGTTCTGGGATGTTTTAGAAATGTAGGCATGAGGATGTTTTTTTGAGGCGTAATATGCACTTCCCAAAGAGGTCTTAGAAGGATATTGAAGGTATTGTTTTTGTTCTTTTGTGCCCTTTCTTTGTTTGCCCCACCACAACGTCTCATGCTTACGTCACAATACGATGAATTCTGATTTGTTTTCGATTTTGTTCTTCTTGTTCGCAATTGGCATTCGCGTTTGCAACGTGTCACGCTTACATCACGCTGCTAACGAACAGAAAAGAATTTGGTGAAGTTTATTGTGTTAGATGACTTATTTAGTTTGTAATAATGACCATCAGATGCAAGATGTGTTGTTCGGTGCCTCAGTGTAATCAATATATAAAAGTACGAATTTATCAATACACAGCTTCTTCGCAGTTGCAAAATTATGCATTGTGGAGAACATTTCAAAAATTGGGAAACCTATATTTCCAATTATATGTCTGTGTGTAGTAAGCACTACTCAGAAACCGATTAGGAAGGTAATCTTATATCAAGAAAATATTTTTATGTTCAATCTTTTTTTAATGCATTTTTTCATTCAAGGGAAATGGTATCCTAATGCAAAAGTTCATTTTGACAAAACGCTTCAGAAAAGTACCTCGAAAATGGTTTTTTTACAGCGATTTAATATGCGCAAGAAGCGTTGAAAATGTTTTATTGTGTCCATGAAAATGCTTTAAAAAGAACTAGGGAGAAGGTAGTTTTGTGACATATCAAGGACATCTCGATAATTGCCGCCTGCGGCGGACATTGGCTGTTCTATAGTAGTTCAATTCATGTATGAACAGAACATCGCAGTGGAAGTTCAATGTCTCGAAATCTCGTACTTTTAACATCTCTGAGATGTTTTTGTGCTCGCTGGGCATTGAAGCTTTCAAATTCCAACACAATGTTGACGTTCTCCTAGAAATGTCATTCGGTGACAGCATTTGCGCTCATGAGCAGAAATATTGAAAAAACGCTCGCACATCGCTGTAACCTATACTCCTCATCTATTCTTGAGAACCCCCAATTCTTTCATGATGGAAAATAGGTCATGTTAGCTCCCGGCCGGCCAGCTCCAAGCGGCTTTTTTCCACCACGGTCAATAGATTCCACAAATTCCGATTCACACGTTTATAGTTTTTTTCTGATGTTTAACAACTTCATGATTCATTTTTCACAGAAAAATGGATATTATTGAGCGATTCATGTCCTTCAATTAATGAAATTTCAAATATTCAGATTGATCAAAATATAATTTTTGATGGAAATCCAACTCGAAAACGATTTCTGAAATTGGTAAAAAGTGTGTGGTACTGATTTTGTCAGTCTTCTCATTTCAGGTTCATGATTTTTAATACTGGATTGATGATTTCTATAACACTCTAGATGCGATTTTTTTCTCTGTGGAAAGAAGAGGGTGATCACTATATCAGCATGAAGACCAGGTCCAAGGTGTTAGGGGCTTGTTCATTTTCAAACCGCACGACAAAGTTTTCCTTCTTCGTAATGAAATATGGGTCAAGACCGTATGTGATATGGCAACACGAATATGAGAATTTTGAAATGTTCAATTAGTAGACATAGTTCTCTTATTCTTTCTCTTTCTTCCTCTTTCCTCTGCCTATGATCAAACTGCAAACTTTCGCTTTTCGATGCTATAACAATATTTTTTCTATTGTTAAATCGCCATATCTCCAATGACTGAACCAATTTTATGTATACTCTTATGGTTCACTTAATTTTGATTGATATATATAAGATCGCTTCTATGGGTACCTATATGGTTACACAAAATGTGAATTTCAGTTCCTATATATTACTAACACAATCAACTATTTTATAACCTGAGCACTAAAAAATTTTATAGCATTTGCAAAAGTTATTCCGATGTCCCAATTTAAGAGTCATAATAATACGTAATACCCTTGAGTATAGAGCTGAGATAAAGACTAACACCCCCATCAGAATATTTCAAAAACCCACCTTATTTCCTGATTTATATTCGAATATAAAGCATTGAAATCTAGACTTCAAATGCTCTTTTCAATTCGCATAAATTCGTTGAAATTATTTTTGAAATATCATATTATTTCGATTGAACAATAGCTGAAAATTCTGAAAAAAAATACTGTCCGATATAAATCGCTGTATAAATGGTAATTCAGAATATTCCCTGATATTAATTCGAAAATAAAACATTGAAATCTAGGCTTGAAATGCTCTTTTCAATTCCTATAAATCATATTATATTATAATATATCTGAATTTTCTGAAAAAAAAAAATAACCGCCCGAGCAGGGACTTGAACCCTGGACCCTTGGATTAAAAGTCCAATGCTCTACCGACTGAGCTACCCGGGCAGATATGTTATCGTGCGGTTATATTTGATATAGACTACGTACGTTTCGGGGACGTACTCGTGCTATATGGACACCTATTAATTATTATTAATATACAGGGTGTATCTGACTAACACCGACAAAATTTGAGGTGTGTTTCCTTGTGACATTTTAGCAAATAAAGTTCACATAAACATGTGTCTTAACTTGCTCCGTTTTTGAGATACAGGATGTTGAAGTTGGAAGTGTTAATTGTTTTAATTTAAAACCCCCCTGTATAAGCTTTCATGGTGCCAAAATTCAGTATGGGTGGAGACTGAGCAAGCCCCAAAATTTCAAAATGAATCTAATTGGGGTTATTGAGTAATCTCAATGGAAGTCTTGAAAACGGATACATTAAAATTTGGAGTCAAATCGAATTTTTATTGTTTCCTCAAAAACTAAGCTAGATACAAAAATCACACAGAGGATAAAAAAGTTGTTATTTCAATAGTTCAATCTAATGAAAATATGAAACTCAGAAAAACCGGTGGTGTACAATGACATTCACCATTAATATCGATAAATTTACTCCACTGGAAATATTATTACGAATCAAAGTGCACTATAAAACCACAACGTTTTGTTGGAATTAATGAAAAGACAATTGAGAAATGAATAGAAAAAAGATTGTTCATGGAAATATTAATACCCTGTATCTCGAGAACGAAGCAAGTTAGGACACATGTTTATATGAACTTTATTTCCTAAAATAACACAAGGAATCACCACTTGAATTTTTTCGGTGTTATTCAGATACACCCTGTATACCATTGAGTATTCACACAAGTGTATAAAATCAAGGTATACTTACCATAATTATGGTCTGAAATTGCTCCGTTATTTCCAAGTACAGGGTGCTTGAAGTTGAACAATAAAAATCGAATTTTTCGTAATGTAGTGACATTTCCAAGAGTACCTACGTATCACTTCAAAATTTGGTATAGCCGGGTTTATTTTGGATGCGAAACCAGAACACGGACACCTTTTCACTCTGGCCATTAGAGAGCGCTTATGTACTTCTTATGGTTTAGAATGACCATAACTTCTTTGTCAGTGTGGTTTATTCCTACTTTTTTGTTGATAAAATAATCTTCTGTACATTTTGAAGCAAAATATGTACTGTTTTTCGATGTATGAAAAATTGATATTAATCATACAGGGCGTGGAAAGAGATACTGGATTGAGAAAACCAAATCACGAATCTGCGATTGAAGGTCTTAAAAATAACAAGTTTCCATCGATCAAGTTTGAACCCCTTGATTGGGTGAAAGTATTGAAAAGGAAAATTTCTTCCCAGATAAAATTATGAACATGAAAAAATCGATATATTTAAAAAGAAATACATTCAGAATTCGCATTCTCTATGTGATGAAAATATCAATTCTTTCTCGGTTTATTCAACAGAAAAAACTACTTTCCTGACTATTTGCCACGTCGAACATTGAATTATATCTGTTAAACAGTCAAAAGGAGAGCTTGAAAAATGAAAATCCTTCAAAATTGAGAATTGACATTATCTCTCTAATCGGATAAAATAATATTATGTAATATGATATAAAAATATCACTTACCAATATGTTCAGTATTCAAATGAAAATTGAAATGTATAGGAGACGTATCTTGTATAAACTATGTTTTTGATGAGCTTGAATGAAGTCATATAACCTGATTGTGAGAGATATAATTCCCATATCACTGATACGAATGATTTTTTTGAAAGTTCCAGCTCATCACGAATTTTTTTCCGATTTAGTGAGCCGATATCTAGAGGTGATCTAATCATTTTTTCTCCTCTTATATCATGGTGATGAACGTCTGATTACGTTGTTAATATTGGAATTTTCTTGTGAATATAATTAACCATGTTCCATGTTCATGAAGAGAGACGGAAGAGTGAACATTTTGAATCTCTGGAAAAAAGGTCTGCAAGATTCTCTATAATTTGCATTGCTCAAGATTCTTATGGCATTTTTTTCTGTCTGAAGACAGTAAAAGCTGCCGATGAGTTACCCCAAAGTTAAATTCCGTAATTGAGGTGGGACTGAATTATAAACAGAAATTTGCCGTTCTGAGAGTAGTAGTGCTAGTGAAGCGTCTTAGTTGTTGCAAATTGGAATGTGAGCTAGATAGTTTCATATTTAGTTGCTTAGCGTATGTTCGCGATTAACCAACGTTCAGCTTTTTCCTCTACTTCGTCAGAAAGAGAATTCAGGGAGTCATATATTCTTCTTGAGAATAAATCAATGTTGTGTCATCTGCAAATGAAGGATATTATCGTATGGATTCATGTATGGACATAGTTCATTGATGTAGATAATGAACAGTAAAGGGCCCAAAACAGAACCTTGTGGAACACCAAATCTCACATCTCTGAATTCAGATAGTTTGTTGTTGAAATATACGGTATTGACCGATTCCGAGATCCAAATGCTGTTCTATCTCATATTGACCACACTATATCAGTGTTTACCACTGATGATCCATAATGTTGTAAACTTTGACAATAATTCTAAAACGATTATTTAAATTTCAGTGTTATGATTGAATTACGCGATGGTACACATTTACCGCATGGACGCGGACAACAAAACGAACTCCTGCGGCTAGAACTTATTGAAATTATGAAATTTTTACATCGAATTTTGAAGTGACTCTCGATCATTTCCGGAAATTGCATAATTTACGTATATTCTATATAAACCGAAAGATCATCGAGAATAGTCAGTCGTCAGGTCTCATCACCACCACCAACAATATGAAAATCATTACTGCAATAACTGTGAGTACATTTTGATATTACTTCAAGAAGTGTAGATACAGTTTCATTTTCGAAAGTAGTTGAAAAATATAAAGAATTCATGATACAACTTCACATTAGGATCCACTGGAGTTGGTATTAATCTTTATTCCGCAAACGGTTTGGGGTAGAATAAATGAATCTCTGAAGTACAGGAAATAAACACCAAAATGTGAAGATTTAGCCTAATATGACTAATAAGAATGTTGCTGGTTTAGGAGATACAGAGTGTTCAAGGGAAAGATTTTATTTTGAAATTTCCCAATATACAGGGTGTATCTGAATAACACCAAAAAAATTCGACAGGCGATTCCTTGTGATATTTTAGGAAATAAAGTTCATATGAACATGTGTCCTAACTTGCTTCGTTTTCGAGATACAGGGTATTAGTATTTCCATGAAAAATCTTTTTTTATTCATTACTCAATTATCTTTTCGTCAATTTCAATGAAACGTTGTGGTTTTATTAATAGTAATATGGAACTTCTACTGGTGCAATTAGATTCAGAATAATATTTCCAGTGGCGTCACAGTGGATAATTTTATCGATATTTATGGTACGCCACCGGTTTTTCAATTTTTTATTGGATTGAACTTTTTTTATTCTTTGTGTGATTTTAATATATAGCTCAGATTTTGAGGAAACAATAAAAATTTGGCAGAGAGGTTATAAATAAAAACAATTGATACTTCCAACTTCAACATCCTGTATCTCAATCTCAAAAACGGAGCAAATTAGGGTACATGTTTATATGCACTTTATTTGGTAAAATATCTCAAGGAATTTTTTCGGTGCTATTTAGATACACCCTGTATAACTTTGTAGGTTTCAGCAGCGTGAACATCAAATTTCTTAGTGTCAGGTTTTCTGACTTGAGGAATACGAATTTGTTGTTGTTTTGTGATTGCTCATAGAGGGCGTTGATGGCGCCCTCTGTTACTATACGGTGAATAACATATCTTTTTTGTTCATTAAATGAACATCAAAATGAGTCAAACATCGGGAAGCCCGTCTAATTTCACATGAAAAATGAACTCCATTTCAAATTGTCTAACTCTAAAGGTTTTTGCGTTATTCGTTCTTGAAGAAAAGGTTTGTATTTCACTGTCAACATTTTTAATATACAAAATATAAAGTTAGCGATGTGACAGTGGAAAAAATGCAGTAAACAAAAATGATAATCTCTAACAACGCTAAAGACACAAATTTCAAAGTAAAAGTTTGACAAAAGATATCGATATAATATTTCCCTGAACAGGGTATTTGCAAAGCATGTTGGGCTAAAGTTTCATATTTTGGTGTTTACTATCTGTAGTATGTAAAACCATTGCAATCTATTCGGATAGCCAGGCGGCAATCAAAGCAGTTAACTCAATGCAAGTTAACTCAAAGCTAGTTTGGGACTGCTCAGAAACCCCTTAATGAACTGGGCAGTCAGAACAGACTGACTTTAGCATGGGTACCAGCATATACAGGGTACGAGGGCAATGATAAGAGGCAGACTCACTTGCCCGAGCAGGAGCAAACAAAGCTAAAGTTCTGAATGGCCCAGAACCCTTCTGTGGTATTGCGAAAGCTATACAAAACACTATAGTATCAAATCATGGATGCAAACCAAATCTCAAGAATGGTGGAACAACTCGCCAGGAATGAGACAGGCAAAAGAGTTTATTAAAAAACCATCGCCAACATTCACAGAATATCTACTGAGCCAGAAACGAAGTTCAACTAGAATACTAGTGGGACTTCTCACAGGGCATTGTAGGCTCAACATGGCTCAACAAACACATGAGTACGATAGGTCTGACTGAAGAACTGCTTTGCAGGTTCTGACAGAAAGAGGAGGAAACAGCAGAACACATACTTTGCCGCTGTGAGGGCTTGTCAAGACTAAGGTTCCTTACGCTGGGTTAGAAAAAACCAGAAGCCCAAAGATTCACAGGGGATCTGAAAGCTAGCCTATGGAGTCTCATAGAGAAGGCGGGGCTAGCCGAAGAACTCTAATAGATTTTGAGGGCAGACACAATAGATCTGAAAAGGTCGCGGTGTGAAGGAATGAGAGATATAAATAGTTTCGTGTATGCTACGAGGTCCATGAGAAGTATCATAAATAATCTACTTTCTTTTGTTTCAGGTCTTCTGCATTTTTGCTGTAGAAACATCATCGGCAAGGCCAGAAATTTCAAATGAAGACAGCTTTTCGTTCCTCAAGTTCAGTGGACCTGTTAGTGGGGACGCTAGAGAAGTTGTAGTTCCTAATTCCGACATCAACCAACCCGGAGTGCAGAAGACAGATTTTGTGGTATGAATTAACTTTTGAAGTTATTCGAATAAGAATTACTAATTGATAACATTTAAATGTGGCATGATTGTTATTAACAATATTCTGATATTATAGAGTTTTGAAACTTCGATAATATGAATTGATATATGAGAAGCAGCTATTTCTGCCTCTTCAACGATAATAATTACCGATATATAAACGAGTCTCTTTTGAAAGTTATCAAGGACTCTTGTAAGGTTAGAAACTGAAAACCATACTCAGATGAACTGATGAGAGGAAGGCAGAGGTTAAATTTCATGAATTCCCATAATATACACTGCTTTTAAGATACAGAGGGTGTTGAGTTTTTCAAAAAATTTGTTTATTTTGTGACGGGAAAAAAGATTGGCATTTCATCTCTGTTGACAGGTTATAAAATGTCACTTTTAGAGAGTAATTTTTTCCCGGATATATATCACATATATATACACTGTTGGTGGCTTTTGGTGTGCTATTATAGTTCCGAAAAATAAGTCAATAATACCGTCTCCGAGTAAGAACTGCGAGTCCTTTTATCTTCCATTCGACTTCGCGGTTACGTAAATTACTAAACAACAACTAAATTCGAAATTTTGTGAAATCAAATCACATAATTAGACTGACAGAAGTGACATCAGATATTTGATTACTTCAAAAGAATGATAAAGATGCCTGCAACGGTGCAACGCAGGTGTCCCTCCTGTTAAAAACTTCAAATTTCACGTCGATAATTTTCAGATTTTATAATAATGTAATATCTTCTCAATATTGATTCGTCCTTTCACGGTTTTTTGTCTCCCTCCGCTACGCGTCGGGAGACAACACAACCTGGAGCTAAAATCTGCTACTTTTTTCCCTTGTATAATAAATAACTATGTTTCATCTGTATTTTCAGTACTGTTATAGATATTTCTATATGCCGTTTGGTATGTTTGGTCTGTAGGTTAGGCAGTGTGCTACAAAATTTTTGAATAAGAATGTCTATTTATTAGTTTGTCACCCTGTAGCTCAAAAACATCCATCTAGCAATTTATCCTTCATGAAAGTTCTTGTAGAAAAAGTTCATATAAACTGGGGAGTATTATAGATAGCCATCTGAAAAACCCTCTGTGATGTGATAACGAAATTTTGAAAATTTTTATTTTATGATGGACTTGTTGGCAGTCTGGAAGAAATTCAAATTTTAATTTTGAGGTACATTTGACCATGAATCTCAACAGAGGTGTGCCGGCGGCGCATTTTCACAGTAAAAGACGTTTGTCTGACTTCATTGACCCCCTTCCTGGACTACACTGAAATGGAGTTGTTGTCACTCTGAAAGAAATCTAATCTCTTGACTTGAACCCCAGAAAAATGTCGCCTGCCGTGCATTTTTCACAATACAATTTTTTTTTTCTTATTTTCTTGACCCCCCTGGTATTCACTGAATGACGCCTCTGGTGAGAAAACGATAAAATTCTGTTCTTTCAGGCAAAACCTGACTATTCTTTCACGTATGGCGTGCATGACAAGGCATCTGAAAATTCTCACACCCACACCGAATCAAGAGATGGCGACGCTGTGCATGGAGAGTACAGGGTGTTGCAACCAGACGGGCTCGTCAGGATAGTGCGGTATACGGCAGATCCAGATACGGGATTCCGAGTTTCTGTTCAATACACTCCAATCTGAAATCGAACATCTTGTTTGTTTAACTGTTTATGTATTGATAGGTCGTGAGTCATAATATATTCTGTGATATGTTACATGCTTTTATCTATTTCTACACACTGTTACCTCACCCTGTATATCTGTATACCATGGACGTATAAAAAAATTTTTGATAATATGTAATCTCCAGGTTACTTTTGTTTTATTTTTTTCAAATAATCGAAACGAGGTAATATCGTTATTGATGTTACCTTTTCTTCATGAACGTTGACTGGCGCGAAATCTGATTTTTGAAACAAGGTTGTTCTACCAACCTTGAGTCGCAGCAATGGTCGCCTGGGTCGCGACTCAGTCGCGACATCTCATATCTAATGAAATAATTTTACAGTAGAATCATTGTAGAAACCTGCCGGATTTGGCCGATATTAGCAGGTAGGAGTCTGTAGATGGTTCTTGAAGAAAATAGTGACAAAACTGTATGATCTAAGGACAAAACTGTCATTTGCACTAGAGCTTAGCCATAGCACCAGTGCGAGAATATTGCGCCTGGTGCGCAGGTCGCTGGGCGCGAGAAATTGACTAGAGCCTAGCCATAGCACCAGTGCGAGAATATTGCGCCTGGTGCGCAGGTCGCATGAATGACTTCATCATACTTTTTTCTTGAAGAAGGAGAATTTTTCTTGAGGAAGGAAAATATTGTTTCTGCATAAAAAATGAGAAAACCTAACCTATCTATTTTATGAGTATATCTGTACTTGTTTCGTTGACCTGTGTAAAACTTGATGTTTATTAACACCAAATAAAATATTCTAGAAGGAGAATTTTTCTTGAGGAAGGAAAATATTGTTCCTGCATAAAAAATGAGAAAACCTAACCTATCTATTTTATGAGTATATCTGTACTTGTTTCGTTGACATGTTTGTGTAAAACTTGATGTTTATTAACACCAAATAAAATATTCTATTCTATTCTAACCTAACCTAACCGAACCTCACCTCTGGCCTAAACATAGAAAACCCCTAAATGAACCTATTTCCCATAGAGAATATTTTTTAGAAATCACTTGAGAACAAGAAAAAAATAAAAAAAAGATGAGCCTCGCACGGATTCGAACCCCGGCCCGCCGGCTTGGCATGCCGATGCTCTGCTTACTGAGCCAACCAGTTGCTTACGAGACGAAGTATGATGAAGTCATTTATGCGACCTGCGCACCAGGCGCAATATTCTCGCACTGGTGCTATGGCTAAGCTCTAGTGTCATTTGCACCTTTGTCATTTGTCAGAAGTGGAAATGTCAGAATGAGAGAGTGAAGTGAAGACAGTGAAGTGAGTGGAAGAATGAAAATATTGAAATGAAAACAAGAAAATCTGTTTCAAGGAGGTTCTGTAATAACTGAAGCTCCCAAGGATTCAATTTTGTAGTATTTGTGGGTACTGAAAGCGACAAAACCTTCCCTTGATATCGAAAAATAAATCAATATGTGAAAAGTTGTACAAGTTGTATTTGAGGTGAGCTTCCACAGAGGTTATATTTTGATCAATTTGTATGCTACAGGATTCATAATAACAACAAATTTGTTTGCATCTCACGTTCCTTTCCAGTGATTTCGTGAATTTATTCATCCCACATTGAATTTACCTATGAATTTACTAACTGTGAATATACTTATTTGAATGAGATAAAGAATATTTACATAAGATAAAGTTTTTCCACCTACCTCCTACCTGTTATAACATTCATTATTTACCACTTTCCAGGGCTTTACTGACTGTAGGTAAAACACAAAAGTAACAAGTGATGTATTTGCAATGTAGAATACCATCCAGCATCAACAATGAGTTTCCAGATGAAGTGCATGAAAAATATGGCAAGGAAATGTGTCTTTTATGATTTAGAAATCTGGAAACACAGTAAATGGAGAGCACTTCATGAACCCAGATAATTTACTGGAAACAATCCCATTCACAAACCCACAAGATAGTCACATTCCATCTTTGTGCCATTACTTAGTGTATATGTTAAGATTAGAATTGATAGCCAAAGTTGTAGTGTTCTGGTGAAAATGTGTGATGATTCACGTTCACTTCTGGGAACCAGCATCCAGTTTCCCACTACAAGACATTTTCCTCATAAGATCAATAAAAAGACAAGCTGGATTTTGAAGCAGTCCACTCTAAAGAAGAGTGTATTTGCTATCATAGTATTCACAATGATATTAATAATAATATATTCTAGGCAAACTCAATCACCCTACTTGACCACGTGAGTATTATTTTTGATATTTATTTGGAATTTATTTGGCACAAACAATTATCTACTTGGCCTATTGCCAGGATATAATTAAAAAATTTATGGAATATTGAATGAATTTGATCTGGAGAGTGGAATTTATTCCAGTTCTCTGACAAGCATCAAGAAATTGAATATCTATATAAATATATCAAAAATACTGTGTATTTGGATAAGGTCTGAACCATATACTAAAATTAATTTATGTCTTCACTAAACATATTTCTGAAGATCCAATAATATATTATTCAATAACTTCTTCTGTCATTATAAGATACATTATTATATTATTTTGTCATAGCTTTCCACTTTTTTTTCTATTCTTTTTTCATTAGATAAATAATCATATATAGATGTTTTGAATTAATGAAGAAATCAACAGGAAATGGTCATTTGGAGAGATTTTAAAGCCATGATTAGAAGTAATGGTAGATATACTATCAATATTTGCAAGCAAAATCTCATTGCATTACAATTTTGATCACAATTGATGAAAAACATGGGGAGACTTCATTTTGCAAAATGTATACTTCCAATAGTTCTATCAAAAATGTTGTTTTTATTATCTCTTTGCTTTAAATTAAGTAGACCTTTTAGCAGTTTTATCAACATTTATCATAGTTATCATTCACTGAGTTCACATATATTAGTCACATTTGAATAAAAATTCTCAGACAGATTGGCTAAAAATATGTCTTAGTTCCCTTGACCTTTGCACTTGAAACAATTCAGTTTTGCAATAGTTCTATTGGCTAGGAATGATTCAAAAAGTTTGTACACATTCATGCCCTTATATTGGGTGCATTGTATCTAAAATTAGAAAAGTTGTTTATAATTATCCAGATGTTGTTGAAGGAGAAGCAGCAAAAACAAGCTATTAATTTCAATCACCTAAATGGATAGTCAATTGATTAATATGTGTTGAAAAAATAGATCAACATGATAACCTTCTGATAAATTGATTATTGGAAATTTATGAATGAACATAGCAATTCTCTTGAATTCAATAAATATTATAAACAACTTGATATCTGGAAAGTAAAGTTGGAATAACTTTTAACTAGCATTCTATTTTTAGATAGAGTGAATGCAATTCAGTCTAAAAGTTTCTCAATCAAAGTTTTGAAATATTTCATTCACTTGAGCAAAATGGGGAAATTTCTTTCTGATAAATTTTTATCAGATTAGTTTTAACTGATTAGCATTATGTTTTAGCAATCTAGAATGCCCATTGAGATGATTCAAATAATTTATGTTTTCGAACTAGAGCAATTGAGTAATTCTCAGACAGCAAACAATGATGTAATCGATGAATCTAGTATGAATACAGGTTCAATAAGTTTTGGTGTTCATAATTTAACATCCCAACAAGCCAGAACTGAAAACTAAATCAAAATTAGAAGATTTCCTTTTGTGCGCTCCAAGCGATAAAAAAACCTGTGTGAAAAATTTAACCAACCAACAATTCCCATTATCTATATTGATCACCATCAATGAATAAATTAACAAATACAAAGAAATGAAAATAGCACATATGCATATATACCATCCATATTGTTCAAAGTGGTCCAATTGCCCAAAAACTTATTTAATTAAAAGGGACGGTGTAACTAGTTTCGGCCACAGGCCATCATCAGACACAAACATTGGATGTAATAATATAGTACCTAAAAGAGATTATAGAATGCTCCACAACATTGTCTATAATCTTTCTTTGGTATTACATTACTACATCCAATTTTTGTTTCTGATGATGGCATGTGACCGAAACTAGTACCACACCCCCCACTTTATTAAATAAGTTTGTGGTCGACTGACTGTATGGTTTTTCATTTAAAAATACCAAGTAACAATGAGCACATAACCTCAATAAAAACGCAGCATCTTTAAAGTTTTCTTTGTATGAACTGGGTAAAAATGTAGGAGCAGTACCAGATTTTATTCACTGGTGTCTTGGAAGCTATCTGTTTCGTGAATAATTCGGTTCATACTTTTCAACAGAATGGGAAACCAAGATTAAAAAATGTTATTCTACCTGCGAAAATACCTAGTCCCCTGGAGGTAAAATATTGGAACACAACCTCACTCTTCTGTGAATTAGTGAAACACAACCTACACTTTTTTATTTGTTTACAGAGGAATCAAAGGATTGAAATAGTTTTTCACAATATTTTGGCATACGAATCGTGTTTTTTGCGCTATTCATTAATTCGAGCATGCCTTCGCATTGTGCTGTTGTACAATGCTCAAGAAATGCAGCGAGAGACGAAGGAATATGATTTGTCATTCCTTATTAAAATTCCTTCTGCCACTTCTGCAATACAAGCTAATACTGCTAATAGATTTAAAATGTCTACAACACACACGATCGTATTTCGTCAGCATGTAAGACCAGTCCTCCCGTTTGATTGCATGAATCCAATCTTCTTGCATTATTTTAAAAATTTCACGTGTATTTCTATTAGCTCATATTGCAGAAGGAATTCCGATGAAAAATCAGAAAAATTACCAAATTTCAAAAATGAAAACTATAATATGTGAGTGACTTTTAAATCATAATGTACCAACAGGATTCCTTCGTCTTCTGCTGCAGTTTTTGTGCATTGTACAACAGCACAATGTGATGGCATGGGCGAATCAATGAATAGCCGAAAAATACGATTCGTATGCCACAATAATTTTGAAAAACTATTTCAATCACTTGTAAACAAATAAGAAAAGTGAGGTTGTGTTTCAATGTTGTTCCTCCAGGGTCGGTCATCTGACAGTTCTTGCACGCAACCCAATCGTATTTTTCGGCTATTCATCAATTCGCTCATGCCATCACATTGTGCTGTTGTAAAATGCACAGAAACTGCAGCGGAAGACGAAGGAATCCGGTTGGTACATTATGATTTAAAAGTCACTCACATATTATAGTTTTCATTTTTGAAATTTGGTAATTTTTCTGATTTTTCATCGGAATTCCTTCTGCAATATGAGCTAATAGAAATGAAATTTTTGAAATAATGCAAGAAGGTTGGATTCATGCAATCAATCGGGAGGACTAGTCGGACATGCTGACGATCGTGTGTGTTGTAGACATTTTCAATCTATTAGCAGTATTAGCTTGTATTGCAGAAGTGGCAGAAGCAGAAGGCAGAAGGAATTTTAATAATGAATGCCAACATTTCATAATGATAACTATGTGAGATTACTATTTATCTGAAAAATCATATTCCTTCATCTCTCGCTGCATTTTTTGTGCATCGTACAACCGGACAATGCGAAGGCATGGTCGAATCAATGAATAGCGCAAAAAACACGAATAGTATGAATCATATGCCAAAATATTGTGGAAAACTATTTTAACCCCTTGATTCCTCTGTAAACAAATAAAGAAGTGAGGTTGTGTTTCAATAATTCACAGAAGAGTGAGGTTGTGTTTCAATAGTTTGCCTCCAGGGTCGGTCATCGTGCAGGCGACCTATACAATGGGTTGCGTGCAAGAACTGTCAGATGACCGACACTGGAGGCAAAACATTGGAACACAATGTCACTTTTCTTATTTATTTACAAGTGATCGAAATAGTTTTTCACAATTATTTTGGCATACGAATCGTATTTTTCCGCTATTCATCAATTCGCTCATGCCATCACATTGTGCTGTTGTAAAATGCACAAAAACTGCAGCGGAAGATGAAGGAATCCGGATGGTACATTATGATTTAAAAGTAAGTACCTACTATAGTCACTCACCTATAGTTTTTATTTTTGAAATTTGGTAATTTCTCTGATTTCTCATCGGAATTCCTTCTGCGATAGGAGCTGATAGAAATACACCTGAAATTTCTAAAATAATGCAAGGAGATTGGATTCATGCAATCAATCGGGAGGACTGGTCTGACATGCTGACGATCGTGTGTGTTGTAGACATTTTCAATCTATTAGCAGTATTAGCTTGTGTATTGCAGAAGTGGCAGAAGCAGAAGGCAGAAGGAATTTTAATAATGAATGCCAACATTTCATAATGATAACTATGTGAGATTACTATTTATCTGAAAAATCATATTCCTTCATCTCTCGCTGCATTTTTTGTGCATTGTACAACCGGACAATGCGAAGGCATGGTCGAATCAATGAATAGCGCAAAAAACACGAATAGTATGAATCGTATGCCGAAATATTGTGAAAAACTATTTCAATCCCTTGATTCCTCTGTAAACAAATAAAAAAGTGAGGTTGTGTTTCAATAATTTACAGAAGAATGAGGTTGTGTTTCAATATTTTCCCTCCCAGGGTCGGTCATCGTGCACGCGACCTATACAATGGAACTAACCTCATTGCAGTCACTCAAGCTCTCGCTCAAGCTATAAAAAAAACACCGAAAAAATTCAAGGGGTGATTCCTTGTGATATTTTAGGAAATAAAGTTCATTATATAAACATGTGTCCTAACCGAGGTCCTAACTTGCTTCGTTCTGGAGATACAGGGTATTAATATTTCCATGAAAAATCGTTTTTTTATTCATTACTCAGTTGTCATTCCATCAATTTCAAGTAAACGTTGTGGTTTTGTTAATAGTAATATGAGGCTTCTTCTGGTGCAATAAGATTCGTAATAATATTTTCAGTGGCGTCACAGTGGGTAAAAGTTTTTTATTTTTTTAAGCGAAAACCGTGCATCAGATTGAAAAAATTGTAGTGATCAAATTTGCTTAGAAATGATTGGAAATTTCAAGAATGATTTCAATTTCGAGATTAATCAGTGGTGTACCATCAATATCTGCCAAAATAGGTATGTGAAATTCCATACGAACGCCACTGGTGGCAACAACAAAAAATGTGGTACACTAACTGATGCTTCTTAATACATAGTACATGTACGCCAAATTTTATTAGAATATCTGAAGTGGTATTACAGATATTAATAAAAAACTACTAATTTTTGCGAACTTTACCACCCTGTATATCAAAAGTTAGGACGTTTAGGTCATACGTTTATATGAAACTTTTTTCTTAGAATGGGCCCAAGAATCTCCTCCTCAAATATTGACATTCAATTATGAAACACCCTGTATAATGTATTTATTTCTACAGGGTGTTTCAAACAAAAACCTAACCTCCTTGCTAGGGTAGGTAGAACATTGCGAAATAAGTTCTCAAGATACAAGGTGTTAAAAAACTATTTTTTCAAACATTTTTCACTACTTATTATGTTGAAACTACTGGCAACATTGTAATGAAATTTTGTATGGATGTGTTTTGAAAGCTGACACATCGCATGAATTTGTTTTTATATCTGACACTCATAGAGGGCGCTAGTTACACGGTTCGTACCGAGTACTTTCAAACATAATTTTTGTGAGGTTAGATTTTTCAGTCCAAAAGTGTGAACTTGAACATCATTCAATTTCACACCAAAAAGGTGCTATTGATGAAACTTGATATGTAATGTGTACCGTTTTCGGGATATTTCGATTTGAAGTATAACACTGATTGATAACCACGTCAAGAGCACTTCGATGATCTCATAGCTGATCCTCAACCGTTGAGATGATTGATGCATTCTTTTAATGAAGGATCGAATTGTGTATTCGTGAAAACGGAGGACATTTTGAACACTTACTCTAACTAGATGATGCTTTTAGTCAAATTTAATTGAATATTTCCTGATGTGATTTTGTTTAATCGATAACTTCAGCAGTGAAATAATGTTAATGTTTTTTGTCCTTGATAAATAGATTATTGTTTTTTATAATACTTTTTCTAATACCAGAATCAGAGTTATTGCTTCAGCATTTTCAAATAGAAATATTTCGATAACGGTACACAATATCGAGTTTTACCAAGAGCATCATTTTCGTGTAAAATTGAATGGTGTTCAAGTTCACATTGAATTTGGACTGAAAAATCTAACCTCAAAAAAGTTATGTTCAAAAGTACTCGGTACGAACCGTGTAACTAGCGCCCTCTATGAGTGTCAGATATAAAAACGAATTCATGTGGTGTGTCAGCTTTCAGAACACATCCATACAAAATTTCATAACAATGTTGCCAGTAGTTTCGACATAATCGTAAAAAATTTGAAAAAAATATTTTTTCAACACCTTGTATCTTGAAAACGGATGCCGTTACGACATTTTTTCACTGAGCAAACCCAACTTATTTTGCAATGTTCTACCTACCCTAGCAAGGGGGTTGGGTTTTTTGAAACACCCTGTATAACAAGTTATACTTCGTAAGGTTTCTTCAATACCACTATGTATATTTTCAATTCATATTATGTAAACATTTTGAATGAACTTTATTATTATTATATTATTATGATATTCCATGAACTTCACGTATAAATACAAGTCTAAATATAAGAAACTTGCCCATTGTGCTAGGAATATCAATATCATGCAATTTTTCTTCATATTCAGTCATCTATTAGTAATTTCGAACCATGAGGGTTTTATAAACATAAAGTTAATCAAATCATCCGTTGACATTGAATTATAAAAACTGACCAAGGAACTCTTTTGTTGTGACATGGTGGAGGCGCCGGGATTAACCATCTATTTTATCGTAACATGGAGGGACTAAGCCATTTATATATCGTGACATGGGTGGAAACACCCCTATTATATCGTGACAATATGCTTATATGGATGAATAAATACTGTTCTATCATTACAAATCATGGTATAATTTTTTGAGGTTCATACAAAAATCCACCAGGCCAGAGCCGAACATCAGATGTGGAGTCATTAACGGCCCTAGAATACTCCAAAATCATGATCACAAAACGGATGCAAGACTGCGTAGTTATCCCAAAGTTCTAGTTTTCGTAGAAACAACGTATTCCAAACTTGGAAGAGACATTGCTGAACTTCTGGTGCATACAAGAATAAAGTGAGAACATTTATAGTTATCAGCCAATGAATTTTTTTGTTAGAGTCAACAAAAAGATGATTGAACTGAGTGTGCAGAAATAAATTCTGAACTCTAGACATTGTTTTAGGTACAAAATTGAGGTTACTGGTAAAAGTGTTCCGGTGCTGACTAACTTAGACAAAGGACGTTATGGTGTAATAGTATTCGAAAATTTCAACAAATATCTCCAGATGGATAACTGGAACAGGGAGTTGTTGGATAAATATTGTCGAGAATATTCCGTGGGTATTATAGGTTTCATCCTGCCTGAAGAAGAGACCTACGTTGGCACCCAACTCAAAGGGTTCCCTATATTTATTCATAACAATTTGAGATTGAAGGTAAAAATGAAACGTTTCCATCTATGCTGAACCATATTTCCTTAAAATGAAACCTTCGGAAGAATCATTGAAACAAAGGTAATTTTCAGGATGCAGCTTTGAATGCAGCTTCTCAAGTTTTGAGGTTAACAAGAGCTGGAGAGACAGCTTGGGGTGAGCTGCCGGGAAACGATTGGACAATTTTTCAAGCCAATCATTCGACTTATGAACCTCTGGAGTGGGCAATCAGGAATGACCATTTCCAACTGAATGACAGTAAGTTTCAATGGGGAAATTTCCTTCAGATGAATTGTCATAAAATAAGTTTGAAACTCTCCAGTTTTATGTCCACGCTGTACAGAATGGCGACCGATAAAGTCCAAGTCGTTTGTTTTCATCCTCAAATTAAAACAATTTCTAATTTTCGAGGCGGCAAACTGTGACGTACATTCTGAATCTAGTCTGAAAATAGCTGATGGTGAAGAATATAGCTAGCGACTAGCTAACGAATAGCTAACGAATGAAAAACGAATGAATGAAAAAAATAGAAGAAGAAGTAAAACTGTTAAACAAAAACATACATAACCAGAAATGCACTCTGAGCAGGAATACAGAAGGTAGTTGGCTTCATTCTGACAGCTCGATCGTAAACGAAAATATCATTGAATCAATGAATCGCTATCGGCTTCATTCAAGGATACTATCCTTCCTAATTTCCTCTTCTTGTGCCTGTCAGTATTTTGAGTGGTGTGGACGGACTCGAAGTATAAGGCTCTGCTGCAAGATATAATCTGCAACTTTCATAGAAAATAGATCCGTTTTATTGAGGAACGAATTCATTACCAAAAAAATTACTGACAAGTTATGAATAACATATTGTAATAGAACGATAGTGAAAAATTATAGATACTATCGCAATTCATCTTTATTGGTAATCAACTTTATTCAGTCAATGAGAGATTTAAGGGAATTATTCATAATAATTGACGAAGTAGGATTGAAGAACCTATTATATCCCATTGCTTTTATGGTATAGTTATTATGCATTCAAAGAACAATTTCTGAAAATCTATACATATTCATGATGCCGGCAACGTCGTACTGGCACAGGGAATCGTATTTTAACTCTGTGGTGAATGTGGATTTTCAGAAAGTAAGTCATAGGATTGGTGGAGGAGCCAAGTTCCTCTCCTATTTATTTTTTTCTGGAGTAAAATTTGATCTTACGAAAAAAAAAGAAAAAATACGTATATATTAGTTTTTTCACAAACTTCACAGCTAGATAAAAACCCCAATATAGGAAACTTCCCCATTATTATCTGTCTCCTTACAAAATCTCAATTCTATTGATGACAGGATTTTCAGTTCATATTCACAAAATAGATTGGTATACAATAATCTCAGGATTTTCAGACCCCTAATCATTTCATTTAAATCAATCAATTGTCTCCTGTGATGGATAATATAAAATACCAATTGTTATTATAGTAATTTTGATCCCATATGGTACTTGTAAGATATGTATCACATCGTTGCATAATTTGTATGTCATTCTTATTGGTTACTCACAAAAATTCTCCAATATATGAATACCTAATTATATGTCATCACAGAATAGTGTTCACCTTTGATACCAATATTTTATTAGTTTTGGGTATAAAAATAAATATAATTTGATGGTACTAGATAAAATTAAAAAAACTCACCAACTACTGAATGTAAATCTCTAGGTATATGTACAGGGTTAGGAAAAAGTATGGAAACAAGTGAATATCTCGGTAACCGTTTGTTAGATTTTTTGAATTTATGTTCAAGGTGATTTCAAATCTTGGCGAATTTGAAAATGTTATCGTCGATGTCCTTATTCTAAATATAACACCCTGTATTTCATTGAATTTTCAGATTGTCCCTGAAGAGCTGATTTAATCGATCTATCACACTTGGAATCTAGCGTTAATGATTATGGAGATATATTATCTCCGTATCTACGTTCCTGTTATACTTCCTTTGTTAAACTTGAGATGGCCTTGTCAAAATTCACATTACATCCATTCATGAGATACAGTGACATTTTAAAAATTCATAATTTTTGGACCCATTCTACAAGGTGTTTTTGAAATAAGTGCACATATTCAGCACATCAATATGATACAGTCTAAGGAATATTCCCATGATATCAGATTATTTCCAATTCTTATAATTAACGAGGAATTTCATCCCAAAAACTGAACAAAATACGGGGAAAAAATTAAGTACGCCACTTTGAAACAATTTAAATGAGTGAACTCCGCGTGATTGTGCCTACCGCATGGAAATTTGACCAGAGGTGACGTCAGATTTGCTACAGTGTAGAACTTTGGGTGGAAAAAGGAGTCTAACCTCAAATTTTATTTTGATCCCTAAATTTTTTTATTAGTGCCATTCGATAGTACACGTCGAGCTTTCTCAGTGTTTGAAATATTTGCACTTATTTCAATGCCACCTTGTATAACCACAAAGTTATTAGTAATAATTTTGCATTAATAACTATGTCTAATACTTTTATTCGAGGTATGGTTTTGGAGACATGCCAAAAACTTATATATTTCTAAATTTAATTAAATCCTAATCCTAATTTTTTTCCTTTAAAATGGGGTATTATAGGTACTTTATAAATAGGATTTTTAGAAATGCTGAAAAATCACTGAAACATTGAATTAGATGAATTTCTGCTAGTCGACCATGGTTTTACCTTCATTCTTCATTGTCAACTTTACAATATTTATATCTAACTTGATTACTCATCAAGTAGGTTGTTGGTTCAACCAGTAGTGTTATTTCGTCATGTTCAAACGGAAACATTTATTCACTTCTCATCGTGATCTTTTTTAGAAATCATTTTTCAGATGGTGTCAAAATTGCACAAAAATTAGTGCAAAAGCCCGAATATTATGCTCTCGGTCCTATGTGGTGCCACAGCATCTACGACAACATACAGAGGGTGATCTTCGACTGAGGTTCTGGCTGCACCGCCATTCCTAGTTGACATATTGAAATCACTCAATCAATAAGACCATAAATCTTAAGACTGAACAAATCCGTCCGATTCTTCTAATTTATTTTCATTTGAATAATTTTGCACCAAAAGAATCAAAACTGCCCCATATCTTTCCTGGTAAACATACAATTTAACTGGATTATATTAGGTTAGTCGAACGAAAATGCATTATCTCCGTCTAATGTGGTGCCAAAACTCCCCTACCAACTGTCATCCGAGACCTCGGTCTCTACGACAACATATAGAGGGTGATATTCGGCTCGGGCCTCATAGGATCTGGCTGTACCGCCTGTTGTTCCTTGACAGCCTGAGCTACCTCATCACGGCCAGCTCAGATGAATTCTTTCCAAAACTGCTAGCTCATTTCGAAATTTTCTAGTCATCTTATAATAGGCAACACAAACTCGTTAATTCAGTTCGAATGTACAGTTATATATAATAGTAACATGGCATGAATACATAATTTTCTGATAATATGCTATTTCGTGGAACGTTCAAGTGAATATTTTTCAAGTCGATTCAACATTCAACTGTCGAATTGGGATTTATCAAGGTAGTAAACGTCACCAATATTGGTTTTACATCAGGTTGTTGGTCCAACCAGCAGTGTTTTTTCGTCGTGTTCGAACAAGAGAAACTAGTTTTCTCATGGTGTCATAAATGCACGAAAACCCAGCAACTTGCAGTTGTTGCCTAGATTAGTGGAACCAATGTTGTTCTCATTTAAGACCTGAATTTGTCTACCCATCAATGTCGTCAGTTTACTGAAAACACCGAAGCTCATACGTTTTAAAATGGACGAAGGATAACAAATCAATAACTCTGTTCGATTGAACTGCTTATTACTACCTATGAAAGCTCTAGCTGCTTGTCATTCACTGTCACTCCATGTAGTGTTGAGTGCTGCTCTGTATCCTTTGTGAAGGTTTGATTCGAACAGATCCGGCTCGAAGGACCAATATATTCGATATTTGATAGATAGTGGACTGAATTTTTTTGGATATGATGATGAAATTAAGATTAATATGAGAATCGCAATTCGAAGTAACTAGGTTCTCAATTCACGACATTCGTCGAACGAAATGCATTCTCTCCCTCTCTCTCTCTCTCTAGGTGGTGCCAAAACTCCCCTACCGACCGTCATCCAAGACCACGGCCTCTACGACAACATACAGAGGGTGATATTCGGGTCGGGCCTTAGGTTCTGGCTGCACCGCTTGTTGTTCCTCGACAGCCTGAGCTACCTCAGCCACGGTCAGCTCAGTCTGTCGCTGGACCGGAAGTTCCTGGTCGATATCGACGACATTTTCGTGGGGGAAGTGGGGACTCGGATCAGGGCCGACGACGTGAGGGCTCTGATCAATACGCAGGAGAGGCTGGCTAGTATGGTGCCAGGATTCAAATTCAATTTAGGTGGGTAGTCTTTAAACATGTTTTATCAGACACTGTTCACAGGGAACAGTAATTTAATAAAGGTTATGGATTGATTATTTTGTGTTAACAATAACTGAAATAATTCGCGTGCACATTTATTTATTTATTGATATAATACAACCAGCATTATGAATAATTACACATATAACAGTTCATCAATTCTGAATGAAACGGAGAATCTCTTTTTTGGATTGTTTGAAAAAAATATATCTACACTAGGAACCTTATTAACACTTCTAAATATAAAAGATATGGGAGAATTCATATGGTGCACAGTATTGGAAGAAGGAATATGAAATGTGCTACAAAACCTAGATAAAATTCGTGGTACATTGAATAGCATATGAGACAATAGGGGTGCACAATCTATTTGTCCATGTATGATTTTATATGCAAAACGTATCTCGGCTTTCCCTGAATTTCTTTAGAGATATCATATGAAACTCGTCCAACAATGAATCATAGCTAAAACCTCTCTCGTGATAAATACCATGTTTTTTTTACATTTTCTAAGCTCCCAGAAGATTCCAAACGACACTGCAGTACTCTAATTTGCTCCTGATCATTGTGATATAAATGGTTTTCAAGGAGTCAAAGGTCCTAAATTCCTTGCAGTTGCGTATCAAAAAACCCAAATTTTTCATTGAAGTTGATATCACATTCTGAAAGATTTTGGAAAACGTGAGTTTTTGATCAAACAGAACAGATGGCCGACCCTAGAGGTAAAGCAACCTCACTTTTCATATTTATTTACAAACGATTGAAATAGATTTTCACAACTATTTTGGCATACGAATCGTGTTTCTTGGGCTGTATATTCATTCCAGCATGCCATCACATTATGCTGTTGTACTATGCACAAAAAATAAAGCGAGAGACGTAGAAATAAAGATTTTTCCGGTAAATTGTGATCTAAAAGTACGGTAGTCACTTACAGCTATCATTTTAAAATTTTGTCACATCTTTTCAGAATTCCTTCTGCAATAGTAGCAAAATGGAAGCTAATAGAGTGATAATGTCTACATGACCATTGTTCTGTTACTTTCAATTGCCAATCTTTGCATAAATAATTGTATTCAAATTCAAAATATGAATTCGCGCGTTTTATCAGAAACAAGGTATTTCTCGCTGTCGCCAAACACACCTGTAGTGAAGGATAGGAGATTACCAAGGGTCAAGTGGAGGTGCCAAGATGTCACGTGAGAAGAAATATCGGGAAGACGCGTGAGCCCTATATTTTGGGAGAAAGAATCAAAAACTCAGTGGGGTAGTTGTTTTAGTTGATAAAAATAACCGCCAAATAAACTCTAACAAAATACAACCATTACATGTGATGTGATGTGCTGAATATCCTGAAAAAGCAAGAAACAAAGTTGGCGGCCGCCTGAAGATCTGCAAGAAGGAAACCACGCGGTGTCCATTAAATATACAGGTGACCGATTCAGCAAAGATCTTGTTTCTGTCGAGTTCGATGAAATATCCTTATTCGTGTACCTATGGAGTGATAATACAGTCCATTGGAACTTCTCCTAACCTGACCATATTCATTTCTCTTTAGAATTCCTTAAATGTCTACAACAAACACCTCCATATTTCGAGAATATTTCAGACCAGTCCGTCCGTTCGTTTGCACGCATCCAAGCTTCTTGCCTTCATCTTCACACTTCAAAAATCTTTATTAGTTCCCATTGCAGAAGGCATTCTAAATGTGAGTGACTGGGTACATTCTAAATGTGAGTGACTAGGTACTGTACTTAGATCAAAATTTACTTGAAAATTCATTATTCCTTCGGCTCTCGCTGTATTTTTTGTGCATTGTACAACAGCATGGTATGCTTGAATGAATGAATTTCCCAAGAAACACGATTCGTATTCCAAAATAATGAATTGTGAAAAACTGTTCAAATCCTATGTAAACAAATAAGGAAAGTGAGGTTGTTTTAATTCTAGGGTCGGTCATCTTCCATATGTGCACTCGACCCATAGAGGATAGTAGTCGATTCTATAACAGACTTTCACTTTTTGACATAAAATCGACAAAAATTTACCATTACAAGTTGCAATATAGATTCTTATACAGAATATTGTGCAAGATGGAATGATCTAAACCTGTAATTTTCCAGTACTTGACGAACATATTGAAATCAGAGGCTCTGTATTGTCTTTACAATTGAAATTTCAAATCTTTAATTTGTAAAATTAATTGGAGATGTGGTTTTAGGCTTTTCTGGAAAATATTTCCATCATGGCAATAATGAGGAAGACAAAGGCGACGACTTGATTTTGGAGAATATCGAAAAATTCACGTGGTTCTCGCACATGTGGAACCATCAGCAACCACACTTGTACGATAATCTGACTTTATTGATGGAGGATATGATGCTTAATAAAAATTTCGCTAAAGATAAAGGTGAGACATTAAAAAAACATTATTCTTGCATTGCAAGTGTACAAAAATATAAGTGTTTGTAATATTTAATTGCGTCATGGCATTTTTGTTTCTTTGGTCATAATTATTATGAAAAGTCAACTACGAAATAGCCACAATGCTCAAAGTGGAATGAAATGTTGAATAAATACAAAAGGCTCAAAGTCATTTCCACACAATATTCATAAAATGAACAACAATAGTAGATTTCGGGAAGAAAACAACTACTTTTCTGGATAATGTCACGCAAAACATTGAATTACATCCCCCTGAAATCTATGCATCGACTCATATAACCTAATACTGATTATGTAAAGTATTTATTCTCGTTATATTTAATCAAATTCACAATATTTAATATCAATTTGATGAACATTCTGGAAGATTCTACCACATCCTATTCTAGAAAATTATGAAAGATCTTCATTGATGAGGAATAATGGGCTATCGTGAAACTGTGGGGGTGGATCACTTACATTTATCTTAAACTTTGCGTAGCTGCCATGTTCTTCTCAAAATAGGTTATAAAGGTCAGAAGAGGTATGTTCTTTTTTTACTATTTTTACACCACATTTTCATCATTGATGGAAGTGACGTCTCTCTCTGATGCACCGAATCGTTGGAGTCATCAGTGTTGAGAATTAAAACGCAGTTATTTCCGGTTTGTTTTGCAAAAATTGCCTATTCAGTTATGATATGCTTATGGAGTCTTCAAGAAATTGAAGTCAGTTTTTTCGTTACATTTTTGTATTTTGTCTACGTAAAAAATATTTCTTTAAAAAAGTGAATTACTATCAGCAATAACCTTTCTTGGGAAAATCACGTGAGATCAGTTGCTAAAAGTGCATCCCAAAACTTTCTGTTTTGCTTTTGCTTATGATCTATAAGCCACATATCTGACCTGTCCTGGAATACTGTTCCCATATTCCCTGAAACTGTTGGATTCTATCCAAAAAAAGGGCAATTCGTCTCGTGGGTGATGCCTCGCTCACAAATTCACTCACTTCTCTAGAACACCGTATAAAAGTTGGCGATCTGTTCCTCCCTTGGCAGTCACCGCGAGATTAACCCGTCGAGTTGAGGCTTCGTCACTTTGGAGACCTGCAGAACATCTCTTTCCAAAGACTCGTTCATCCAACGAACAGCGAGGCTCTGGAACACATTGCCAAAGGAGGTGTTCCCCGAGGCATATAACCTCCAGAAATTCAAGAAGATCACCAATTCCTACCTTATTTTCCTTGGTTCTCTCGGTGTTCTCTGAACATTACAGGATTTCCCTTTTCGAGGGAACCAGAACATGAAAAAATAATTAAAAAAAGTCCGAATTAATTTAAAAAGTCGGACTTTCATTACTTTTTTATAAAACTTTTCCCAACACCGCTTTTTTAACTAAAAGTGACTCTGAGACTACGACCCTTATAGCTGGCTCTACTGAAATGTGAAAGTGTTTCCTCAGGGATCCCCGTCGATTCGGGGTACTCTGTCTCCCCCCACCACTCGGGCGTCTACCCCGTCCACAAGCTGCTCTACACGGCATGGAAGAAGGTGTGGAACGTGCGCGTCACCTCCACGGAGGAGTACCCCCACCTACGGCCGGCCCGGCTGAGGCGCGGCTTCATCCACAGGAACGTGATGGTGCTGCCGCGGCAGACGTGCGGGCTGTTCACGCACACGATGTTCATCGAGCGGTACCCGGGCGGCAGAGAGAAGCTGGACGAGGCTATCAGGGGCGGCGAGCTGTTCCAGACGATCGTCTACAATCCGGTGAGTCCATCGACTTACTACTCTATCGGCCAAAACAACAATCTCGGACTGGGCGGAGGAAAAGAGACTCACGTACTGGCACAGATTAACGAACTTTACAGATGAGACACTCCGCCCCTTTTGTTTGATGTACCGACACATGTGTTTCGTGACCTCGTCCCTTTAAACTTTGCGCGTCACGGTTGCCGGTTCTCAAAATGTTAGGTTGAAGTCACTCACTATTCGTGGTGCAACGTTGTCATATAAACGAATATCTTGATATCAAGGATTTACTTTATTTGAAATTCATGAAGCTTACATTGAATTGAGATCATAAAGTGGTTCAAATGTGTTTATTGGTTGGATCTACACAAAATAATTGATATTAGGAACTGAAAAATTGTTACGTGACAATTCGTTTTGACATTCTTGGCGCTATTTCGTTGCATTCCCCTAGTGCTGTTTAATACCGCGGGATTTTAACCCTCTTTGAAATGTCCGATTGCTATTTTTCCCACACTATTTTGTCGAGCGCTGTTTAATAACAGAGCCTGTTCCTGATTTCAGATCAACATATTCATGACTCACATGTCTAACTACGGCAACGACAGATTGGGACTGTATACCTTCGAATCCGTAATCAAATTCATCCAATGCTGGACAAACATCAAACTGTCTTCGGCTCCGCCACTGCAGCTTGCCGAGAACTACTTCAAACTCTATCCCGGCGAAGCCGATCCAGTATGGGGAGTAAGTAAAGTTAACCGATCAACCTAACCTCGTCAAAGTGTGAATCACTGGGAATTGAAAGATCATGACTGACTACACATGTGTACGACACTTTGAATGTGCAAGGTGTTCCTTGAACCGAGTTTATTGGTTCTCCTTATTTGGCCTACATATGTTTTACAGCAATATTCACATAATAAACAACAATGATGCTTGGTAATGAATCATATTTCCTAAATCTCGAAAACAATTAGCTATCTAAGTGTGTTAATTTCCTCTCTGGAAACATCGAATTCTGAGTTGTTTTTGCTACTATTTATTGCAACGGCAGTTTTTCAATATTATCTCACTGAAGTGAATTCAATAGACGGAAAAAAACTGTTCAATTCGAAAATGAAGTTGGCTTTTATATAAAAAAATCGCAAACACATCGTCAACATTTCATCCGCTATTTTCTTATTCATTTTGCAAAAAAGAGAGTCAAACAGTTCGGCCAAGAATAATAAATCAATTTCTCATAGCTCTACTCTCATTTTTTCAGATTTTTTTCTAATTCCTAGTGTATACCTTTCAATCCTGATGCCATAATTTTATTATTATTGACAAATATTTTTCAAGAACCCTTGTGATGATGTGAGACATCAGAAGATCTGGTCTAGGAACAAGTCGTGCGATTCTCTACCGAAATACTTGGTGATAGGGCCTCAAAAGACCGGCACCACCGCTTTGTATTCGTTTCTGTCTCTCCACCCTGCCATCAGCAGTAACTTACCTAGTCCGACTACTTTTGAAGAGATCCAATTCTTCAACGCCCACAACTATCTCAGAGGATTGGATTGGTAAGTACTCACTAAATTAACACACCCAGAAAATAAACTCGAAAGTTCAAATCTTATTAAAATATTGTATTTATCAACTCTTTAGCATTTTGATCAGCCTGTCACGTAGAAATTAGATTGAGAATGATAAATTCATTATAGAAAGTCGTTGATGTAAATGATGAAGAGGATAGGACCTAAAGCAGTTCCTTGGGGAACACAAAAAATTTAATTCGTATTACAACTGATAAACTCATGCTATTACAAAATGTTCTCTTCCTGATCAGTAACAACTTCTTTCACCATGATTTTCAGGGTTTTATATCAGTAAATTATAGTTGAATGCATTTTTCAAGTCTAGTAATTACTTCAGTCGATGAACACCCAATAATAGGGGGTGTAGAGGGCATGGAAGAGGACAGTTTTGATAAGACTAGGGATATGTTCGGAGTAGATAGAGAACAATAATTCCAGAAGTCCCAGAAACTTACAGGGTGAGCCAAGTGCTGGGGGACGACGTGGAAGGTACCTTTTGTATTTATCGTTCATTTCTCCAGAACCGTACGCCACAGCAAAAAAGTCAATCCATCCAAAATTGTATCAGAAGGTTTTTTCCCTATCTTTCACAGTTATCGAGAAATTCGCTAGCGAATCCATTAAATCTCATTTTTCAGAACTGAAAATGTTTCAGGAAAAATATGAATAGTAAGTGACTTGGACGTCCTCATTTCCCATCCGAAGTGATTTTCAACCTATCTTTCCTCCTAATATAATTTTCCGGAAATATGGGTGGTTCCATAGCTGTTGGCGAGCAGTGTATATCACCTGCAAATTTCAGAATCCTAACTCAACAATTACAAAAGATACAGGGGTGCTTCCATTAGAAGTGAGACACTAAATATGGACAGGGTGATTGTTTATATTTTGCTCAATAGCTATCCCAGTTAATATTGGTCCTACAGAAAAGTTCAAATCGGCCAAAGTGAAGTATGTTTTATGGGCATTCAGAATCTAGTACTAGAAAATGCAAAAAAGCAACAAAAACCTAACATTTTAACATGAACTGGTATTTTTTATATGGAACACCCTGTATTTTATTCTATTTTAACGGAAGATCTCGTTCTTCTGATTTCAAATATATATATTTGATTGAGGTTATCTTTCGTCAGTTTTTGAAAATAGGTTGAGCCGTCAAAATACGCTAGATAGAAAAAACGATTTTCAAAAATGTACATGATTCGCTAGCGAATATCTCGAAAACAATCAAATATATGGAAAAAAACCTACTGATACAATATTGTAGACAATTTTATCAGCTATAAATTACGAATAGATTTTTTGCTGTGACGTATCTTTTTTTAGATATAACCGATAAATCAAAAAAAGGGACCTTCTACGTCGCCCCCTGCACTGGACTCACCTTGTAAGTTCGGGGACTTTTGGAATTTTTACTTCCTATCTACTCCGAACATACCCCTAGTCTCGAAAAAACTGTCCTTTCTTATGTCCTCTACAACCTGTAAATTGACTAAACTAAATATTCTTCTCCGTGTTTTTGTTGTCCGGTTATTTGATTGGTGATGAATCGAAGTTTCTGATCCCAGTTTCCATTCAAAACCGCGCATTTTTCCAGGTATATGGATTTTTTTCCGACGGACACGAATTCTTCGGCAAAATACTATTTCGAAAAGAGCGCTACGTATTTCGATGGCGAATTGGTGCCCAAAAGGGTACACGCCCTATTGCCTCACGCCAAGCTCATAACGATATTGATATCGCCCGCCAGAAGGGCCTACAGCTGGTACCAACATACGAAGGCCCATGGTGATGTCATCGCTAACAATTACAGTTTCCATCAGGTGATAACGGCTACGGATACCGCTCCGAAAGTGCTCAGAGATTTGAGAAATAGGTATTTTATTGTTTTTCCAGAGATAACGCGTCAGTAGGTACAGAGTTACTTGAGACCGTCCCCCACTCCTCTTCCCTACTTGACACCATCTAGCCAATCCCATTCAAAGATATTGAAACACGAAAGACAAATTGTTTCATTGATAAAACGCCGATCTGTTATTGCTTGAATGTATGCAACGAGTGCAAGAGGGACAATTGCACAATTGATATTCTTCCGTTCTGAACTGTCATATTTCACTTTGACTGAATTGAATCAGTTAACATGCCTTCTGTATAATCAAAGGGTTTCAAAAGAACCCATATTAACTGGTTCAGTTCTAGTGACATATTTCAGTTAGTGTTAGGATAGTAACGAACTATAACATAACCTTACCTACCGGTGAAAAGACAAATTTGTATTCAGATGTTCCACCCTTTTGCATACAATACACGAATGCATCTTGGTTCACAAAACTCACAAACAAGTAAAAAGGATAAAATAAAACCAATAAATCCCGGGGAAACACCAAGTCAGCTGCGATTTAGCAAGTTCGCAATAGGATACATATCTCGTAGAAGTTGTGGAATGTTACACCTGCGTTGCCAAAAGGGCTGATTTGTCTGGTGAATAGTGATTACAACAGGTCGATATTACTAAAATGAACATCTCTAATTCATTACAACTATAATTCATACAATAGGGATGATAAGAAAGAATTATGCTTCAGTACAGTATAATCATTGATTTGTGTTAAATCATTCAATCCATTGCAAAATTTTCTAACCAATTCAAAAAATCGTACAATCTGGCAAATATGCAATTGAAGTGAAAGATACGGAAACAGAGGATTGAACGGTGCATGTTCGTGCAATGAGGTATCTATTGCGTTAAAATATGTTAGCATAATCTCGTTCAATTCGCGCAATATGACATGACATGACATTGAAACGTGAAGCATCACCAGCCGTATCATTGGATACGTTAACTTCTAATATTCTCGTAGGCCCCGCCCACTCGCAGAGATTGGTCCCTGATTGGCGGGGAATTAAATCTTCTTGAGGACCCTGGTTTCCTTCGGAAAACAGTGTTTCTTGGGTTTCACTAGTAGTTCCTACTTAGTAGAGGAGTCAACGAAAACATTGTATGGAAGTGTTCAAATTCAGGAAAGATCATTAAAATAAAACAACAAGCTAGTATTGCGTGGCTGGTCTCAAGTTTCACCTTACCTGCTAGTTGTCTTGCTATGTTGATTGAACGATATTGCATAGCTTCTAATTTTCAGATGTCTTAATCCAGGAAAATATTCGCAGCACTTAGAGCGATGGATGACATATTTTTCCCCGCAATCTATGCATATTATCGATGGTGAAGAACTAAAAAATAATCCGTTCGAGGTTATGAACGAATTGCAGAAATTTTTGAAAATAGTGCCAGTTTTCAATTATACGGAGCATCTCAGGTAGGCAAACGAAATTGTTCTTGATTTTTTTGTGCATGCATACAGGATAAATCGTTTTGTTCATCGTTTTTGATATATGGAAACTTTTAAATGAAGTGAGTCATTTTCATTTGGTTTTCACCATCAAAAGGGACATTTCATGGTGACTCAAACAATGAGAAATAATTGATTTTGTAGCGTTTGTACAGAGTGTAACTGGAAGTTATACAAACAATAATACCTGTTCAGAAAAAATATTTGCAAGGAATTATTGCTTTTCTTCTGTGACGGGAAAAAATGTACATTCATTTTACTTTGTTTCTTTGGGATTTTCTCCCCTCGTTTCTATAAAATGAAAATATTCGTATTATTTCAATATATTTGTAGAGGGACAAATCAGATGATCAGTGACAATTTAAATATATTGAAAAAATATCGAATTTTCCCTCGATGTTATAAAAAGTACTCACTTTTTTAGTAACTTATGAAAAGTGACATTTTGAAGAAGAAGAAATATGCTTCATTGTCCAAATAACTTATTCTCATTGACAAAGCTTGTTACTTTGAGTTAACCTTAAGTCTCAAAATGAACAATAGTAAAAACAATAAACAATAGTAACATCAACAGGTAAGAGTCTACAAGAGACGTAATCAGTTTAAAAAAGGAATATAATCTACATAGAAGGTAAACAGGAATAAGCCTGCATACAAATTCCACTAATGCTAATTATACTCAAAACTTTAGAAATACTAATAATTATAAGTAGTAATGAGTGGTTCTGATACCCATCAGCAAATTACAACAAATAGTTAAAAATTTTATAGAAATAGTCAGGAATAAGCCAATGCATAAGTGAGTCCGCTGAAGGTCGTCGTTAAAAAACTCAGTAACATTGTAGTAGGACGATCCAATAGTAGACGTTTTACTCTCTTCCGGAAGTTGTCAAGCAAGCTGATTTCTCCTAATTTCTATTGGGAGGTGGTTGTACATTTTGCAGCCATTGTAAATCAGAGAATCTGATAGGATTTGTTGCCGGACGTGGTAGCTTGATGAAGCTGATTTGGCGAGTGGCATAGTGGGAGGGATTTGTGTCAAAGTTATTAATATGTTTCCTGTCAACAGAGATAAAATGTCAGTCTTTTTTCCCGTCACAGAGAAAAAAATCAATTTTTCCAATTGCACTGATTTCAAAATGATATCGAGAATAACTTTGGTCATGGTTTCCAGATTTGATCCGAAGAAAGGGTTTTTTTGTCAGATAGTGAAGGGCGACCACACAAAATGTTTGGGTCGCAGCAAGGGTAGACAGTACCCCCCAATGGAAGAAAAATCGCTGAAGTACCTGCAGAGGTACTACCTGAGCCATAACACAGCTCTGGTGAAGCTGTTTAAAAAAAACGGGATGCGGGTCATTCCTAATTGGCTGAAAGATGATTTGTCTGACAAAACAGACAAGGACAATTATTGAATTCGGAATTATTTCTTCTTTCACGGATCTCCTGAGCTTGTACATAAACAAATTTTTATTTTTGTACTTATTATCTCTTAAGTAGCTAGTTGGTCATCGATCATCGTTATAGAAATCGTTAGAACAAAGGCAAATAATGTTTCAACACTCAACATATCATTGAACTTTAGCAATACATAATTTTGTAGGAACTACTAAATCGTTTCTGATAGTTGAAGGTCATTCCAAAATGCAGCTAGATTTTTAATTATTGCATGATCTTTTCAGCGGGTAGCTCTTTTTCAATTTGAACAAATACCCAAGCTGAACTGATTGAAACATTTTTCAGTCTAAAATTGAGGGTATAGTTTATATGGAGTCAGTTGAGACGGTTCCAAAATACAAGTTCTATCAGAAACGCTGTTTTGTCATTTTTTTCATGGGGACAGAGTTGTCCATTTATTCATCCAAGAAGCGACAGTAATTTGATGACGAATAAGAAATCTATGTAGTAGGAAAAAATTATCGCAGTTGATGAAATAATCAGTCAGGCGAATTGCAATATTTGTCTATCAATTAAATATTTGTTGCAAAATTGATGTCTAATATAACGGGTCGATATTAGTTAATCTGAGGAATTTGCAAGATAAGAAAAATCTTGCAGTTAGACTGAAGAATTTCACAATTTGCCTGATTACAAGATGAATGTACAGGGTGATATGTTTTAAAATACCATCCCTTATAACTCTTTTGTTCTTGACATTTGGAAAAAAATTAACAGCAGCCTCACAGTCCTTATCAATAGTAGGGGTGGGCGATATTGATTTTGGATTATCGATAATCACAATGTATCGTTATCATCGATATTGTCGATATTTTTTGCATTAGGAACCTGAAAAGGAACATTGGGCGTGCTACGGGTAGAAAGGGAACTATATACTACATTCCAAATAAGAAGATAGTAGGTGGCGCTTCTTCCAAAGGGATGTTTACAAAATAAATATATGATGCCTAATCCAAATGTACGAAAAATAATCGATATTTTATGATGTGGACATCTTCCCATAAAGACAATTTCAACCGTTATGCCACTTCGTGAGTCATGATATTAGGCAAGTGTAATATTGCCTCCGATATTAACCAATGAAAGCGAAGGTCAACGCTTTCCTATGACTTCCAATGCTGTCTTCTTAGTTGGAATGGATTATAGGAGTAGGCGATTACAATTAACAATCATCGGATATTTTGAAAATTAATGAAAAAAATCATCAGAAATTTTATTGATAATTATCGATGTTGTCGATAAATCGATAAATTTGCCCACCCCTGATCAATAGTTCAGTAGTAATATATTTCAACCGCCTTCATGTTTCATCAGTTTCATTTTTTATGCTGCTGTTTCAACTGACTTCCTATAAACTATTCGTCAGTTATTTCCGAAAATGAACGTTCAATATAACCGCGTTAATTTCACTGTATTGTGATAACAATATGTTGTTTAATGGAATATTCTATTTGTTGTCTAATAATTATTGTCTATTAGAAGTTACCATAAATATTGTTCATTTGAATCTGGCGTGTTTTGTTCGAAATTCATAATTGAAATTTTAATTCGGAATTATATCTCTCAGCTGTTCATTTAAAATTATTTCCAAGACTTAACGTATCTTGGACAAAGAGTGGTAAACTTTCTCGAATACATATTCTGTAGGTTTCAAAGAAATTTTTAATGTTAATAGCCAGTACCTTATTATCAAATTCGGAATTTATCAAAAACAGAAATCATCAAACTCAATTTTCCTAGTCAAGAATTTACTCATTCAATGTGCAATTTATATATTTGCGTCCAATAATAGAAGCTTATTTATTCCAAGCAATACACTTCTAGAATCGTTTTCACGTAACATACATTACCCGTTTAATAGTACAAGTAAAATTTAGTTAAGAATTTATTGAACAAGTTGTTCGATCCATACCAAAACAAGTCCATATGAATTATGGAAAATGATTTTTTCCTTCAGGATTTTTCAAGGAAGGTGTGAATTTGCAAGTAATTTTCATTGAGGCATTTCTAAGATTTTTCAATGCACTTTCGTAAACAAATGCCGTCACTGCTAAGGAAGAAAATGAAAAATTGTAAGCGCGAGGTGGAATGACAGTTTGTTGGCATGACCATCAACCTAACTAGCGCCATCTGCTTTGGATAAACTTCAGTGGTAAAGAATCTCTAGGCGTTTTCGGAAACCTACTCGGGTTGACTCGATCCCTAACCTGCACGTTCGTGTACCTAACCCGAGTAACATACCCATGTTCGGAAACTTCGGTGTTACTTACTCGATCACTAACTCGGGTTCATGTTTCGCAACCCTTCTCCAAAGCAGGGTCAGCCAGAGTTACTACCTCAGATCATACACTTACTACCACAGAACTACTCACGATTCATTTATTTTTAAGGTCACTTCAGATATTATTTGATTTCATCAATTGAACAAGAAGTGAATTATGTTGAATAGCATTAGTTTGATGATGAAAATACACCAACATCATGAGCAGAAGCAATATCCATCATTTCTAGAACAATAACAACGTGTATTTTTTAAGAGTTCAGTGGTATGTTTTTGAAGATATGGAGAAATTGATCCGAAAATATATTGATATCGTATAGCGAACTGAAAAAATTGCATAAGCTGTAAGAAATCAAGAAGTTCTATTCGAAGAGGTATAAAACTAACTCAATAAAATAGTAACCTGATAAGTTCGTAAACTATAGTATTAGGATAAGTGATCCGACTGATCCATCACGTGACCCGTTCAGATCGAGTCAACAACCCAGAGTAAGTTTCCGAAATCGCCTTCTGAGACCTATAACAGAGAAATATCCAAATAGCACTTCAACTATTACTGATTACTGCTATAGTGATAAAAAACTTCCAAAGTTGGGATTTGGAATGTAATATTTGTAGAAGATTGAATTCCAAAGTTAAAGACCATACATTTTGGCAAATCAAAATGAATCATCATGCATAAGGTGCGATAGTACTGAATGATCCTGAATATCTAAAAAAATCCTTATAACTACCACAGATTATACTGAAGATCAAAGTTTTTACTTTACAGTTGAAAAAACAGTGTAGGGATGTCATTATAGAAACTTGGCAGTTGGAGTGTGGATCAAAACATCCTTGTTGAATAATAAATTCTAGATTATGTATAGAGTTAAGTCAGTAATAATAAAATATTGGTAGTTATGGTTACTTGTGAACATATCTTATGACTGATGAATTCCATGTGTACTTTTACCAATGTAAATTTCGAATTGCCCCTGTTTTTTGATGGTAGAACTTTTGGAAAATTGAAATTGATTTTCAATAATATGTGTGCTGAAATTTGACCATATCTGGAATAGCTATCATGTGGAATGGGGTTGATGATAATATTTATTCATTTGTTTTCCCTTGGAATATAATGTAATATGAATGTATCAATACTGTACATACTAATCGTGCCATTTTTGTAAATATTTCATTCATATTTTTCCAGTGTATTATTTCATATAATTGTGAAATTTGTGTTCAGATTTGTTCTCAAGAGAGAAAGATAAAAATGGCAATCTTATTTATTTTATTTTTCAGATTATCTATTCCAACGACTGTTCATAATATTCCACCAATTTATTTTAAGTATTTATTTTCAATTTTAGTGCAAATCTTCTTTTAAGGTTCATGACCAAAATTCGATGGTATTCACAAATAATTATTTGAATCTTGAAACAAACTAAATGTTGCTAGATGTGTTATAATTATAGATAAACATTATACATTCTTTGTATATATATTTGTCACTCAAATAATTGTTGAAAAGACGTAAATATGACAATAAAAATATACAATCAAAAACTTCAGTCTTTTTATAAAAACAAATCAAGGACCTTTAAACATAAAATACATTCTTCATAAAATGGACAAATCAATCAGAAGGATTGAAGGATTTGGTGAATGTGCACTATTTCAATTCCCTCTGAATTAAACAAATTTCCAGGGTCTCAGCTAGGTATTTTCTGAAAAAAAAAAGTTTCTAGGTATAACAGGTAACCGTGCCGCTGCTCTTAAATTAGATACACAGAGTATTTCAAATTCGATTCTCGCCAATGAGATTTCGGAAATTATACCTATATATCTCTTATGGTTTCCGTGATCCCAATGGTGATCGAGGATCGAATTTGAAACTTGAAACACCCGGTATATATGATCAGAGTTAGGTCACAGATCAATGACGGCTAAATGGACTGTCTGACGAGTACTACATGACTGTCCAATCACTCAGTTCAGTGTATTCTCCACCAGAGGGGTTTACTTGCCGTCCTTTGCGGAGAAGTCATTTGTTTCGCTCTTATTCGGTTATAGGTCGCGTGCACGAAGACCGACCCTGGAGGCAAAATATTGAAACACAACCTCATTCTTCTGTGAATTAATAAATCACAACCTCACTTTTTTATTTAGTTACAGAGGAATCAAAAGGTTGAAATAGTTTTTCACAATATTTTGGCATACGAATCGTGTTTCTTGCGTTATTCATTAATTCAAGCATGCAAGCAGTTGTACAATGCACAAAAAATGCAGCAAGAGACTAGGGAATATGAGTTTTCAGGTAAATAGTAATCTCACATAGTTAGCATTATGAAATGTTGTCATTCCTTATTAAAATTCCTTCTGCCTTCTGCCACTTCTGCAATACAAGCTAATGCTGCTAATAGATTGAAAATGTCTACAACACACACGATCGTCAGCATGTCAGACCAGTCCTACCGATTGATTGCATGAATCCAATCTTGTTGCATTATTCTAGAAATTTCAGGTATATTTCTATTAGCTGATCCTATTGCAGAAGGAATTCCGATGAGAAATCAGAGAAATAACCAAATTTCAAAAATGAAAACTATGTGAGTGACTATAGTAGGTACTTACTTTTGAATAATCGTAATGTACCATCCGGATTTCTTCATCTTCCGCTAGTTCCGCTGCAGTTTTTGTGCATTTTACAACAGTACAATGTGATGGCATTAGCGAATTGATGAATAGCAGGAAAATACGATTCATATGCCAAAATAATTGTGGAAAACTATTTCGATCACTTGTAAACAAATATGTTTTGCCTCCAGGGTCGGTCATCTGACAGTTCTTGCACGCGACCTATGCAATAACATAGGTTATTATTATCAAGTGTCAAAACTGTGTCACTGTCAGGTCCCTGATGTGTTCTGTTGAATATCGATAAATTCCTTTACTTTTTCGGATTTTCATTCAATCAAGCATTCTTCTTTGTGTTTATTCATGTTTGCTAGTTGTGTCTTCATCATGTATTTACAGCCTTCTAGCGTATGAAATGAAATGTATGAATAATCGTATCAAATATGGGGTTTGCTTTTTCGAATCTCACCCAGTGATAAACTCCACAGCAAGAATGGTCGAATTTTATTTTGGAAGGCATTGGTAAGAATATGATTTTTCATGTACACTTTTCTGATGATGATTTTCAATTTCAGCCTCGATTCCACCATTAGAACACTGGTGTTAATTCTGGTGTTGAAGTTTGTGTCAATGATTTTGGAAGACACTATTATAGAGTGATGATCAATAGCACTACATATGGCGACTTATCAGGATGGGGACGTACATTCATAGAAAGGATCGCTTACCATAATTTTCAAGGTATGTTTAGTCTGCATTGTTGTTGCATAGCTAGGTAGGGTAGGAGTAGTATTGTTGAAAACTGTTTCATGTGAGCCTGATGGTTCAAGCCATTAATGCAACGTATTCAAACTTAAATTACCATATACCTACAGGATGGGCATCCCAAAAAGCAACACTAAGAATGAAAGAGGAATGGAATTTAGGGTATGCTCTTTGAATCCCAGAGAATCATCAGTCTAGGCCAACATCTGGAGTTTTTTCGAGTGCCACAACTACAATTTGAGGTATTTTGTGTTCCTGCTTCCTGGCAAATATCACAGAATAATGATACTATCAGAGATTTTCAAAAATGTTTTTCACTTCTGTGATGATTTTGTTACAAAAAATTTAAATTAATTATTTGGCCTAAGTTTATGTATTATGTATGAACATCTATCAATGAGATCCTGTATAGCTTTCTTGTTTTCTTGATAGAAGTATGAGATGGTATGTGAAATAAGGTAAAATGTTGTCACTGATACTAGCCCACTAACTATAGCTTCCCCAATAAGTAGATCTAAAAAGATGAAAAGAGTGCAAACTCAACTTTTGAAATGCATATAACTATTTCTGTCTCCACAAAGTTTTGAAAATGGTTGAAAAATATGGATTGATAAATAGATAGATGATATGTATAGAAAGCATTTGTTCAAGTAATATAATAATTTTATTCTATAGACAGTCACCATAATAAACAATTTCCTTTTCCATTAAATTAGCTAATGATGAACTTATATTTGAACTCAAAACATGCTTCTTCTCTGCTGATTTCTGAACAGATAATAGAAATTGTGGGATACACAATAATATATCATCTTCCTCTTTTATTTCCAGTGTCCAAAGGATCTCCAGGTAACCTAGCTTCATCCTCCAAAGTCAAGATCCCATATCCAAGCCGTTTTATATTCATTGTGTTGCCATCCCCAGAACCTATAAAGAAATGTTGCTATAGAACATCAATGATTTTGAAGTTGGCATAGTTCTATCAATTTTGCAATACAATTTATCTGTATATCTGATATGAAATATATAAGTATGAAATGATAAATTGATATTTAATTTGCTATTCATGGAGATACCTGATATTGTAGTTAAAATGCCTGATTATTTTTCTGAACCCTCACCTAATTAAACTATTGTTCACAAAGCTCACCTTATATAGTAAATATTCTGGTTATGCATAGATAGCATCATCAGAATTGAATGTCTCCAGTCATCATTCAATCAAACCTCATGAAGAGCTGCTTCAACATTGTGTTGAGAAAATTATTCAGTATCTTCCTGAAAATACAAATTAAGAAATATCACTTGAGATCACAGATTTTGTGAAACAATATGAAATGTTGCAGTACATTTCACTTTGAGAATACAGCAGTATCTGGTTATTAGGGCTACCATGGCTCTCATTAGGCAGTTAAAAATTCAATCAATGGAATAATTGAACATGTCCTTACCTATTGACGAAGATGATTTCCACTTGAATGGCATTATTATTTATGCATATAATAGCGTTACTTGGCATGAACACTCCTCTAACCACTTCATTTTGTTGGCCTTTTCACAGTTTTACTTGGTATCTCGAACAAAGCTCTCCAATCTCGAGTGACAATGAGTGACAGGCTGACAGTAAGAAAATTTTGTCAACAAATAATGCAGGTTAATATGTTGAATAGCTCATTTGACACAGGAAATAGATGACGCCACTTGCCGTCCCTTCAAAATTTCATTACAGGGCGATTTGGTGATTTTCGCTGAATGAACAGTCATGTATAACCCGTCAGACAGTCCATTTAGCCGTCATTGCACAGATTAAAAAACCTTGTAAAACCGTGTTCCTTTGACTTTTTTAGTGGTGCCGCCGCTACATTGGCTTATTTTGAACGTTCTGTGGTTGACTAATCTCTGTTTTGAACAATGATTGGTATAATCCGGATTTCCGGATATTCCAGCGTTCCCTATATCCTATATATTTCATCCAATCGGTCTACTAGGCATAACCATAAAGGTAGGATTTTTTTGAAGCGATTTTGCTTCGGCAAGAAGTCGAGAACTCTACTAGCGATCAGTAGCGATGAAACGTTTGATGTTATCAATTTTATCATTGGTCAATGGTTGCTAATCAATTATTTTTTAATAATTCAATAATTTTAACGGACCAATAACATCACTTGTTCCCTGCATCCTGATCATATCGTGATACGTGATCATAGTTCATGATCATATTCGCTACGCCAGTCGGTCTCGTAGACACCTAGTACAAAAAGTGACAAAAATTTAAAAATCAATTCATAAATTCATGCTCTATCCACTTATCCTATATTTTGAATACGTGTACATCTGCTAAATATTTTTAATTTCGTTTTCTCATCTGATAGACGGCCAAAACTGCTATCGTTTCCTAACCTCGAATATGTGATATCCAGGAAGCCCTAGAATCTCTGGCATCACCCAACCTCCTATACTGGCTCTTTTACACCTGTGATTTTTCCATCAGCTGTCGACAATGGCGAAACCAAAAAATCTGAAAATTGCTTTCATCCACCCAGATCTAGGAATAGGGGGCGCAGAAAGGCTGATTTTGGACATTGCAAGTGCTTTATCAAGTGAGGGGCACCAAGTTATATTCCTAACAAATCATTTCGACCCAGCTCATGCCTTTGATGAACTGAAGAATGGAGAGTACCCAGTCGAAGTGTATGGAGACTGGCTCCCAAGAAGTATATTTGGAAGGTTTCAAGCTTTGTGTGCATATATAAGGATGATATACCTCTCAATAATGTACTTTGTATTATTGAAACTTGAGGAGGCACCTGATTTATATTTCACTGACTTGATTCCTGTGGCAAACCCATTCCTGAAACTAGGTAACCAAAGAGTGATTTATTATTGCCATCACCCTGATTTGCTTGCTAGTGTGCCTGGTGGCAGGCTCAAACAATTTTACAGAAAACCTATAAATTGGTTTGAAATGAAGGCAACAGGGCAAGCTGATGTTATTTTAGTAAACAGCCAGTATACTGCTTCAGTTTTTCGTAAAACATTCCCACAAATCAAAAAGTCTATTCACATTCTGTACCCAACAATAGCAAATTCCTATCAAGAGACTGTCAGAGAACTGAAGGCAATGAAACCAATGGAAGAGCTGGTACCAGAACTGCCAACTAAAAAGGACAAAGTTGTGTTTCTGTCTTTGAACAGATTCCACCCAGCCAAAAGACTGGAACTTGCAGTACTTGCCATGACTCATTTACAAAAAGTAACCACAAAGGAAGAATGGGACAGGATATTCCTGATACTAGCAGGAGGGTATGACCCACAGTCCAGAATCAATGCTGACACTTTCCAAAGCCTTGTGGACCTAACCAAAGAGAATCATCTAGATAAAAAAATAATCTTTCTAAAATCACCTAATGACAACCTCAAGGCCGAACTACTGAATTCATGTTCTTGTCTCCTGTACACCCCAGTTAAGGAACACTTTGGAATTGTCCCTCTGGAAGCCATGCTGGTTTCCAAACCTGTGATTGCTGTGAATAGTGGGGGGCCAAGAGAAACAGTAGACCATGGTGTCACTGGTTATTTGTGTGAGCCAACTGCTGAGAGTATGGCAGAATTTATGAGTAGGATCATAAAAGAAAATGTAACTGAAATGGGAGGAAGAGGCAGGAAAAGGTTGGAAGATAGGTTTTCCTATGAGAGTTTCAGTATGTGTTTGGGTAAAATTGTAGAGAAGGCTGTTTATGATGATAAAGATAAAAAGTTGAATTGATTGTTGAGCTTGTTGATTTTAGTATTTTATTGTTAATGAAAATTGAGTTCTATTGGATCTAAAATTCTTTTATTCTCTTACCTTCTTCTCATTTCCCAAACAGTTTCCTTCACAGAGCAAATATTAAACTGAATTAAGAAATTTTTGTACATATGTACCTATCTATAAGTCAATCTTAAATATTTTATACAGGGCAATAATCATGAGTAATTATTTTGTCCATGATACTTTAGGAATGTCGAAATGTTCAGTGAGACTGTCCAAATGTTGGTTAAATTTCTCTACCCTTTCCTTGTGAGTTTGTGACGCCTTTTCTAGAATCCTTTTCGTTTTCTGGAAATGAAATCAGTTGGAACATCAGTACACAGATGTGATCTAACCACACTAAAAATGTCTCAGAAATGAAATATTTACCATTTTTTCCTGCTGTTGTAAGAAGGCTAATTCCGCCTTAGTTTTAGTTTGCTTACTGGAATTTGTCTGTTCGGGCTCTTCTGTTTCTATCGTTTTCTTAACTTGTTCAATGAGTTTTTTGTCCTTCTTTTTCTTTTTTTTCTTTATTGATGTATCACTCTTCAATATGAGTTTTCCTTTAGCTGCAGCTGCATAAGGATCGTCTTCACCCATCTTGTTCCCGAATATAGGGTGATTTCTGTTCAAATAATATTAATTCATTAGAAAAATTATGAAGTCTAAATTAAAAATATTATTGTTGCCTGTTTTGTAAACACACACTTGTGACAGTGACAACACTGTCATTCTGACAACCATGATGACTGACAAGTGACTACTGACAACATTTAGACAAGTGACAACATATCAAGAATCAGGATAGCCAGTCTAAAAACCCGAAAGAACCAGCAAAAACAATTTTCCACCGCATTTAAATTTCCCTTTCGTGCGCTCCAAGCGATAAAAAAAAATTGAATGCTCATACAAGGTGGTAACATTTTTTTTCGAAGTGGGGAAAGTTTAATTTCTCATAATAATGGAGTACATGAGTTTTCAATTTTTACCTTTTCGTTATAGTTTTCTAATTTTTTTTTTCCTCGAAATGCCCTTGAATTTTTTCGGTGTTAGTTAGATACACCCTGTGTAAAAAAATATCAGATTTTCACTCATCTTTGGACATTTCGGGAACGAATCTGCTTCCGTTTTCAACATGAAAATGAAACAGTAATTTTTGTATCTAGAGCGCGAAATGCAACTTTGGTGATCGAGATCTAATTTTTTAACGAGGCGTATAGCTCGAGTTTTTCTACAAACATCAAAAAATATAGTTCTAAAGTAAAAATATGCTTAGCTTGATATAAAAAATAGTGTTGAATTGGCTTGAAAGGCCTCCCCCTATCTTCCCTAGGTATACCCACGATGTTACACGAACAAAATATGAATTTCCTTTCGTCCGCTCCAAAAGATAAAACAAAATTATTGTTGAACATTCAGAAATAGATGATTTCGTGGATGTTTGCTCGATTGGGGACCATAAAGTTGAAATATAAATATCTCATATATTTTACATAACAATGCGCGAAGTAGGTACTTCGCGCATTGTTTTGTGCAAGGTATCATGGTAACGTAGGAAACTGGAAAAAAATGTCACTTCGCAATTTGTTATCAATGCGCGACCCTTGTCATTTTTTGACGTTTGTAGAATAGTTATTTATGTACTAAGGGAATTATGAGGGCCTTAATTACCGATGGCAAAGTTTGCGTCCCGAGGGCCCGAGGGACAGCAATTGCCAGAGGTTATTAAGGCTCTATAATTCCCGTGATACATAGATAATTTTATTTCTGACTGATTTCATTCATTAGATACCTTCCCGATTGGAAGTTAGACATGTTTTTCCGTATAGTTTCAATGTCATCAGAACGTCAGATGATGATCTTGACTACCGCGAATAGGAGATTCCTTATTGCTACGTTATTGCGTGGTTGTTGCTATGCATTCCTTATTTAATTTTGGCTAGAGGGAATTATAGCATCTATAACATCCCAAGGGAGTTATGACCCTCATTATAGATATCGTAACTATGACGATATAAGCTTATAATGTCACTGTCAGAAATAAAAACATTTTTTTTCGCAAATTCGGCAGGTATCCGTCTTGACACTTCTCAGTGCCAAATTGTGACGTTGGCAAACAAAAGAGTTACAGGATGTTTTCATTAATGAATCTTGAAATCACCATTCTAATGTTTTACTCTTCCTATGAATAATTATTTAGACATTTCGGTCACCTTCCCTATTGGCAAAAGGAAAACGATTTTGGCACGGATTAGCTTTCAAAAAAATACTTATTGATACATAATCCGATCCATATGTACTAAACGAGATGTCACTTCTAAAATCATACGACACAGATTATTGAGTTTCTTTCATAATATTTATGTCGATTAGAATACAATTTAATAGCTTGATTTTGATGAATACTGATGAAGTGATGAATGTCATCATGATTTGGTTTCTCTTTATTTGGCAAAAACCTTTCTGTTGAGGAATTTCTGCAATAAATAACATTTCAACATTGAACAGTAGTGAGTATGAGTGACTAACATGGAACGTGCATCCTCTAAAACAGTATAAGGATGTAAATACAGGGTGTTATTTAAGTATGTGACCAAACTTCGAGGGCGTCTAAGACGGAAAGTGCATGTCACATTCGACACACAAATTGCACTCGTTTTGATCTGTTGAACTTGAATATGTGAAAATATACAGGGTATACGTTAATTTTGACTATGAGTAATGAAGCTACTTGGTGTAAGAAATATATTGGTTTGAACAAAAGATGTGAAAGAAGAATATAATTGGTTCATTAAAATGACATACCCTACCTGGGACTTTATAGCAGTCAAAGCGATCGATGTCGGTGAGATGGAAGATTAAGAAAATGTTGAATAATGTTTATTGAATCAAGATTTTGGTGATGTTCGATACAAGAATCAACATTTTTCACAACAAAATGATAGAAAACTCAAATGAAGAATCAAGATAATAGTGATATTTGAGACGAAAATCAATATTTTTTCCACAAGGGAATTCAAAAATTCTTAAATAAAGTATGTATTCTTGAATGAAACAATACAATCGAAAAAATTAAAATATTGATATGAGAAAAGCAAAATGCTCTTTTCAAGAATATTTATTCAGAATTACAAGATATATTCTCATTCAGAGTTGATCTTTTCGAAGAAATATATTTCCTTGGAACGAGAAATCGATTTTATTTATGTATTTGAGGCGTTCTAGTGCCAAAATATTGAGTGAATCAAGAATTGTATTCATCATTTTTCAAATTTTCATCTGTAGTTCAAAATATAATTATTCAATATTGTTGCAACATTTTTCAGATTTTGTTTCTAAAATGTGCAACCATTGCATAATTGATCCAAGAAACATCAATGGGTAAAGGTAACCGTAAATAAGTATGTGTTATTGCAGCAACAGTTCTGAATATTGGAATTGTAATACTCAACCACGATATATATTTGCATTATTTCTGAAAGATTGCAAATGCAACTGCAACAATGTAATATTTTCATGGACGATATGCTTTTCTGAAATATCAACAATTGTTCCTCCCTTGGCAGTCCCCGCGAGATTAACCCGTCGAGTTGAGAGGCTTCGCACCCCTTCGTGGTCACTTTGGAGACCTGCAGAACATCTCTTTCCAAAGACTCGTTCATCCAAAAAACAGCGAGGCTCTGGAACACATTGCCAAGGGAGGTGTTCCCCGAGGCATATAACCCCCAGAAATTTAAGAAGCACACCAATTCCTACCTTATTTCCCTTGGTTCTCACGATGTTCTCTGAACATTACAGGATATCCCTTTCCGTGGGAACCAGAACATGAAAAAAAATCAAGCAAATTTCGAATATAGATACTGACGAGTAGTGACGATGATAAAGTAGTTCAGAGTCGAAATGTGCATAGATAATGATTAGAACGAGAAAGATTTCATCTCGATTGCGAAAAAGCTGCGGGGAGGAAATTCTTGTGGAGGACACGAGAAGCGTGTCTAATTCCAATAGATTATCGATATCGAGATATCGTGGGATTACGTAAGCCCATATATTTCCACAAAGTGGCTTGTCCCAGTCGCGCATGCATTATTGACATTAGCAGATGAGCGCTGATGTCACGAGCGTGCGTGCCAGAGGGGTGTCACGTGATTTTAACGCACTCGAAGTGCAGTGGCATGTTAAAGATTGAAACTTGAAAGGCCGCCTGACTCAGCATATGAGGATTATTTTACCTCTGTATCCTCTTACGATATTCTCTTTCAGGTATGCCTCAATAGCATTCCCCTCTGCCTGGAATACTGAAGCATATATCTCCCCAAGGAAGCACAAATCCTGGTTCTGGGTCTATCTCCAAATATTCCGGCTCCCGTACCCTCATCAGTCTTAAAACCGTCAGTGTACCACACTAACGTGCCTGCCTGACAGTTAGTCAAGACCATTTCATCCCAGTATCAAAGAATAGTAGGTTCCTCTTTGCCAGTATGATTATAGATACTGTACCAAAGATCTAACGGTAAACTCTAAGTACTAGATCCGCTTTCAGGAAAGAATCACTTGTATCAGTATTCGTTTATACGAGTCGATGCATAGATTTCGGGAGGATGTTCTGTGTGGCATTAGCCAGGAAATTAGTTGTTTTTCTCACGAAATCTACCATTGTTGTTCATTTTTTGAACATTGTGTGGATATGACTTTGAGCTTTCTGTATTTATAAACAGATATAGATTCACCCAAACATTAGGTGGTAGCTGCAGGTTACCTCTCTCTCGTTTATCGAATTCATTGGTTGGTTTTCTACATTTTTTCTTCAGGAGCGTCAAGGATCAGTTTAAAATTCATTTGGTATAGCAAAATGTTAGGTGGAATTTGGAAAATAGCTGTGAATAGGTCTATGGTCCCAGGTGTCCTCAGGGGCTCACAACTTGTGAGTACGGGAATGGTGATCCCGAGGTACCCTAGCCGGATATTCACCATACTTCAACTTGTCTTGGGTGATATCCTCTTCTCTCTTCCTTTTTTTTTCAATCTATCTATCGGCTTTTCTTGGCCAACTTCTCTTTTCCTCCTCCCCTCCAAGCCCAACCTCACCATCAAGTGGTGTGTGGAGGACAGACCTCGGCCGCTCGACGGATGAAGCATTTTGGGACCATCTTTGCTATCTCTGGGCTAGATGGGACAATTTGTGGACATCTGTGGCAGGGATGGGGCGATTTGCTGATATCTGTCTAGGTGGCCGAGGACTGGTCAACGAGGCTCTGGCAACCTAATCCAAGCTGTGGGAACCCGTGGTGATGGATGAATGGCACCGAGGTATTGTGTCGCTAACGGGGCCTCTGGGAAACAGGGCGACATCTCAGAGTGAGTAGCCTTAGCCCTGTGCAGGGGGCACCACAGGGCTGGACCAACCCCTTCCCCCGTCACTCGTAGGAGAAAGAAAACTTTTGGCCTTCTTCGTAGACGAGAACAGGGATCGGAAGAGTAATCTTCAGAAACCTGAACGAAAAGGGTCTTTCATATTGAAGTGGCCCTTAATAAGCACCATGGGTCGTATATGGTAAAATTGATAACGGCACTAGGCCTAAGTGTCGTCGGAGACTTCGGTCAGACGAGCCTATAAACGGGGTGGAGTGTTTAGTGGGTATACTCTGGAGTCAGGGGACTCCTACACTATCATATGGGGGATTGGACCCATATGGTGTCCATAAAGGATTTCGACCA